AATGCTCATCAGAAGATGGCAAAGTACTTAGAGAATTTCTTCTAAGGAAGAATCATGTTGCCTTCGACGTCGAAGGTGCTTCTCGACAAAGGAGTTCGATGCTCAGAGTGGAACGGTTTGAGATTCAAACGTTTGGAGAGAAAACGGTTCCCAGCGGTTACCAAGTGCAACATGCCAAGATCTGGAGCGTCGAATGCTGTGATCATGCCAAGTGGAGTCATCTCGAAGCAGCGTAACTGCCCGACGGTTACCTGAGATGTGTTTAGTATAAATATTAGTAGTTCACGCAATTTTTCGCGCGTGTTCACAATTATATACAAGTCACTCATATAGATTCAAGTACCCAATGTGAGCGAAAGAATTGTTGAGAATGTATGTGTGAAACACCACTTTAATTAATCAAAGTCATTTATTTTCCAGAACTTTACTGCCTTTTCATTTACTTTTCCAGTCGAAGCCTTTATTCAAAGCTTTCTTTTATTCTACCAAGTTTTCTTCTTCATGCAATTTACATAAAGCGTCTTTATTTTCTTGTCATTTAACCATCATTAAACTTAGTCAAAACCCCAAAATCAACCATGTCTTAGGATCAATCTGATCGATCCTGCGAGTCACCAAATAAGTAACCTTTTGGAAGATCAGCGGTTGTTTACCAATTCCCACGGTAAACAAGCGGTTTAGTGTAGTTTTATAGAACTAATTCGTTGAATTCAAATTCTTCCAAGTACTCCTTTTATAGGTGAAAAGAAATATCCGCTGGAAGGTAGAATAAGAAACTCAAATACAATTGTTTTGTTCCCAACGGTCATGGTGAGACTGGTAGACAATAGTATAAAAAGGTATGTCCTTAAGCCACTCTGGAAAGTAGAGGCCACAATGTATTTTTGTACTTTTTTTACTCACCATCATAAACAATCCCTTAGTCTTGATATATGTCTTCTATATCTTTAGAGGCTTCTGATTTGTTTGTTGATGAATCATATTGTAAAAGGATCAGAACTATGTATCTTTAGAACATAAGTCTTTGAGCCTTTTAGGGCTTGTTCAGAGAACCCTTGCCTTCAGAGTCTTCAGAACTTGGTCTTCAGAATGTCTTCAGATCTTCAAAGCTCTTTCAACAGAACCTTGTCTTCACCATCTTCAGAACTTGGAATAACAGAAGTAAAGCTTTAGAAGGCCTCAAAAGCTTTCTTGCATAAGTCACAATCAGAAGCTCTTTTACTATTGTTCCTTAGAACCGTTGCATAAGAAGCATTCCAGAATCTTGACTTAAATTGCAATACAAATAGGTATTCTTCCAGGTGTTGAGTTCAGAACCTGATGACGTTATGCACCTTCTTACCAGAGTCAGAACCTGTTTAGCAAAAGCTACACACTAGACAAAAATTGTTAGAGTACACAATTGTTCTCTAAGATAACATGTAAACTTATCATCATAACTTAAGGCCATATGCATAATCAATCTTGTTCTTACAATTATCCTAATTCTAAAATGGAATTGGGGGGGGGGGGGGATGTAGCCAAGCGAGACAATTGGCAAACTTCCTAAACAAATCCTCGTGTCGCTCTCTCTTATCTCTTTACTTGCTTTACTTTTTATTAAGCAATTTGTTAAATATCATTGATTGATCGATTGGATCGTAAGAATTTTTCTGTGGTTGTTTTTGTTTTGAATTTATTGTTGATTAGCTTATAATCATTTTGATTATAATTCCTTTTTCATATCAACACAATTCAAGGAAAAATTCTGAAAATTCGTTCGCACACCAAGTATTTGACAAATTGCATTGTTCATTAATTTTGCTTAATTTCATTGGAAATAGATTGCTAGTAATTTGCTATAAATGAATAATATTGTATTACTTGTTTCTAGTGTATAAATTCATCTTATTGTTTCGTTTATTCTATAAGGCTCTTTGCATATCCGAGTTCCAATAACTAGGTTCGTATGTACGACTTTTATCAATCTATATTAAAACCTTCCGCTTACACTCTTTTCAAATAACTTTTTAAAATCTAATTTTAATTGGTATTTTGACTTGGTGATCTATTCATCCCCTTATATAAGTCATCATCTAACATCTCCCATTAATTATTGACCATTCAATAATTGCTTTTTTAAATTCATCAAGGGATGTAAACTCCAACCCGACTTTGAACTTGTAATTCTTGTCCAACTCCTCCACCTTAAACTTATCATACTTTGGTCCCTTATAATTATATAAAGTATCAAGGTCACTGCTATCAAGCTCATCACTAGCAAAGTTAAGCTCCATCTCATTATCCACACCAATGATGAACCAATATTATCAACAACATTCATAATTTTCTTCCGAGTGTTCCTGTTTGCAACAAATTTTACCCTACTTATTTTACCATTGACATCACATTTAGGTGGAGGTGGAGGTTATAAAATGATATCAAATCCATCATACAACCCAAGAGCCATTTCATCCCCACTATCATTAAATATCATATTAGTAACTTTAACCTCACTACTTTTATAATAATGTAATTCAACCTCTCTTCCATCACATTGCTCACCTTCTCTGATAGTCATTTCCATCGTCTTCTTCAACATGACTTCTTCAAACTCTTTCATCCATATGGTTAGTGACAGGATTAGGGTCAGGTGCAACTATGCCTTTACCAGACTGCTCAACATACACATGCCCTTCATATTTTATTTTAATAGCATTTAGAAACCTTATAAGCCCCATTATCATTGAATATTCTTTTGTAATTATCCTTACCATTTTTATACCACCATAACCTATATTTTGATTGATCAAGATCACTAATCTCTTTCAATATACCAATAGCTTCAAAGAAGCCCCACTTGTCTGGATAAATGTCATCTAATGCACATTGATGTCCCATTTGTAAAAAAAACACAATCCCTAACAAATTGACCCCCATAATAGAAATTAACAGTAAAATACATCCTTGTAAAATATACCATCTTATTACACATGTCAACCACCTATGTATTTCGACCCTACCAAAAAAGACACAACAAATGAATGGAAAACTCACATGTGTCACATTTATGTTGGTCGTCACAACAAAAACAGAGTCAAACACAAAAAACAAAGGAAAGGAACTAAATTTACCTCAAACGTAGTGATAAAACATAATGACAACCACACACGTTCTCGAACGTGGATACTTTTGAAACAACCACACACGTTCTCGAACGTGGATACTTTTGAAACAACCACATCGCTTAATCTCCATCGTCGATTACTTTTCATCTGCCTTAGTCATTCGTTGTTGCAGTCTGAGTTGTTTGAGTTTCTATTAAAACCCTAAATATGCAAGACTACATGCAGAATGAAATTTGACGATTTTAGAGAAAAATAAATAAGCCATGTCAAATAATAAATCAACAATGATATCATACTTTAGAAGTTATATCATTGGAGCTAAGAGCATAAATATCGCTGTGGCTTATGTCTATGTGTACTACTGTAGTCAGAGTAGTATTGATAATAGAAGACAAATGATAGTAGTATTAATTGGCACCGTATCCAAAAAAGGGATCGTAGCTTTTAATAAATATATTAGCTTGTAGCATGTATAGCTGTTGGATTAAATTTTCAAATAACATGTTACTGTTGGATTAATTTTGTGGGACCCATGTTAGAGTTTTAAGTAAGTAGTATGGATATTTATAAAATATAATTAAGTGGTTTAAATAATTGAGAAGTGTAAAGTAATATATTATATTAGATGTGACCCACTTATACTATTAATATGAGTAGTATGGATGTGAATGCTCTAAGTGTCAAAATCTTTTGCCACATAATCCTTTTTGAAACAGTACATTTAGGATGAATATTATAATAATTTTAAATTCAAAAATTATATTTTCAAATAAAAATATACAAAGAGTAAAACAAAAAAATTGCCAACTTATCGAGAAAATTTACAAATTTAAGCTATATTTTATTAATCATAAGAAAACTAAAATTTGTTATTTAAATTTAATTATTTAATTTTAATTTAAGCCACCAATTTCCACGAAAAGAAATTTCGGTGATATGAAGTTTCATTAAAAGTAACTAAGAGTTAAAATTCAAACTCAATATATTTCAAATAATTCATTCTTCTCTCGAGTCAAATCGCATAATTCATAATTTTAATCTAGTTTGTAACTCTTCTGGAAAATTTCGTATTGCTTTTTTCTTTGAAAAGTTGAGTTAAAATTAAAATCTCGACACGAATTTCTCCCAAAACTAGAGTGCGGAATTTCTTTTTTAAATCTCGCTTTTTTGTAGAAGTGATTTTAATTATTTTGGGTAAATTTGCCATTTGTCTAAGCTAAAAAAACACAAATTCACCGATTCACCAAACCAATGGTTACTAGATATTTCATATTTTGACTAAGCACCACCACAGAAGCGGTAGCGGCAAATAACAAGTTAGTTATAATTTCGCCAAATTCCAATTCTACCCTCTTTCTCGCGCCTTATTCGCCTTCTCTCTCACTCTCACTCTTTCTCTCTCATTTCAATTCAAGCTTCTTCGATCAAACCCTCTCTCAATCGAAACCTACCGTGACTCGACGCTGGATCGTTCCGAACGAAGGTATCGTTTTCTCCCATTTCCTTCTCACCGATCTTCATCTCTCTTACGCAATGCCGATCGTTTCACGGTCTTGCGTTTTTAGAGCTCTCTGTCACAATGCTTGAATCGCGCGCGTTTTTTTATGCGCTGAAAATTTCTCTGCTGCTGAGAAGCGATTCGAGTTTTCCAGGTTTTTTCTTCTGATTTAACTCCGTGATTATCTACTAGTGTTGATTTGATGTTTTCATGGTTTATGTAGCTAATCACTTTGCGAATTGCAATATTTGTACAGCTCGTAGTTCTTTTGAAAATGTTGATATATTCTAGTCTCTTGATGTTGTTAATTTATTTCATTTTCGTTTTTGTTAAATGCAGGTGGATTAGGATTTTGTTATGAATGAGTATATGTTGGTTTCATTGGAAATTGTATAATGGAAGGAGAGGAAAAATCAAAAGAGATGAAAATATCCGGTGATGGATTGGATAGGGATAGTCATGAAGTGATAGATAGTGTTGGAAAACAATTAGATGAGAGTAATCAGAAGGAAACTATAAATGCTGGTAGTGGCATTGGGGGTGAGCAGGAAGATGAAAGGGTAAGCTTACAAGGACATGAGATTGATTCTGTGAATACAGTTACGAACGACCAGTATGAGCAAGTATCCTTGAATGATCAAGAGAAGAGTAATGAGTATGATGAGTTAAACCATTCTTTAGATTCAGATAATGTACAACAACCTATTGGTGGAAATGCAGAGGAACAGCATTCATCTGGGATGTACTCGCCAGTTGCGGCAATGCAACATGATCATATTTCTTACAGCCCTAGGTCAGGGGGACATTTTGTTAATACAAACAAGCAGTCTGCTTCTTCAATTGGTTTTGGTTCACCTGGTTTTTCTCCTCTTTGTTCTTCACCAAAACCTAAGCAAAAAAATGCTATGCCAAATACTTCAGCAGAATTGCTGCATTTAGTTGATTCTGCAATCATGGGAAAACCTGAAGGTATGGAGAAACTGAAGAATATTGCTAGTGGTGTAGAAATTTTGGGGAGTGGTGAAGAAATGGAAAGCGTGTCTTTCTTAATTGTAGACTCGCTTCTTGCAACCATGGGTGGTGTTGAATGTTTTGCAGAGGATGGAGATAACAATCCTCCTAGTGTAATGCTAAATTCCCGTGCCGCGATTGTAGCAGGTGAACTTATTCCTTGGCTTCCTTATGTAGGTGATTCTGACACTGTCATGTCTCCTAGGACACGAATGGTAAGGGGACTACTTGCCATATTACGGGCTTGTACAAGAAACAGGGCAATGTGCTCAATGGCTGGTCTGTTAGGCGTACTGTTAAAAACAGCAGACAAGATTTTTACTGTGGATGTGGGTTTAAATGGGCAAATAAGGTGGGATGGAACTCCTTTATGCCGATGCATACAATACTTGGCTGGGCATTCTCTTAGTGTTAGTGATCTTCGTAGATGGTTTCAAGTCATTACAAGAACGCTTACCACAATCTGGGCTTCACGCTTAATGCTTGCAATGGAGAAAGCAATAAATGAAAAGGATTCAAGAGGGCCAGCTTGCACTTTTGAGTTTGATGGGGAAAGTTCGGGTTTGCTTGGTCCAGGTGAGAGTCGCTGGCCATTTACTGACGGGTATGCATTTGCAACTTGGATCTACATTGAATCGTTTACTGATGCATTAAGTACAGCTACAGTTGCTGCTGCAATTGCTGCAGCGGCATCAGCCAAGTCAGGTAAGTCATCTGCCGTGTCAGCTGCAGCAGCAGCTAGTGCACTTGCTGGGGAAGGTACTGCACACATGCCACGGTTATTCAGTTTTTTATCTTCCGATAATCTGGGTATAGAGGCTTATTTTCACGCTCAATTTTTGGTTGTTGAAATTGGTAGTGGAAAGGGTAAAAGATCTGCGTTGCATTTTACTTATGCATTCAAACCACAGTGTTGGTACTTCATTGGTCTTGAGCATGTGAGCAATCACGGAGTTACGGGGAAAGCAGAAAATGAAGTTAGGTTATACGTAGATGGATCTCTATATGAAAGTCGTCCTTTTGAGTTCCCTAAAATTTTCAAACCCCTTGCATTTTGCTGCATAGGAACTAACCCTCCTCCTACTATGGCTGGATTGCAACGCCGTCGTCGTCAGTGCCCTTTGTTTGCTGAAATGGGCCCTGTTTACATCTTCAAGGAACCAATTGGTGAAGAAAGGATGAGACGTTTGGCTTCTAGAGGAGGCGATATAGTGCCTTCTTTTGGCAATGCAGCTGGGCTACCATGGCTTGCTACAAATGCCCAAATGCAGCACAAGGCAGAGGAAAGTGCTCTATTAGATGCAGAAATTGGAGGTTTCATACACCTACTCTATCATCCTAGTTTGCTTAGTGGGCGTTTCTGTCCAGACGCTTCACCTTCTGGTGCCGCAGGTCAGATAATTTACGGGCATTGAATTCATAAATAGACAAATTTTTATGCTACTGATTGGTCTATGTAATTTTTTATATATAAAGATTCCTGATGCAGTTAAATAATCTTCCAAAGTTTTGTTTGTATATTTACACTCCGCTACTGAATTTTTTTTACAACTTTTTGAGTTGTAATATAGCCGTCTAGTGCTTATGGTATTGAATGTTCCATGCACCCCACATCACATAACGAGAAAAAGCTTGATTGATGAGAAAAGGCTCAATTGTTTTTTGTTGTTGTTGGGTTGAAATGTTCTTTAAATACCTTAAGGGTTGTCATCTGGATGCTTTCTGATGCAATTCTTCTTTTTTGTTCTCTATGTGTAACCGGCAACCTTCTTCTGGTTAACTTTTATAATATATGTTTCAACAACTATTTGGGTTTTGTGAATCACACGTGGAGTTCAGATTTGGAATTGAGTTAGTTGTCCATGCATTGAAGAGTGAGTTGAACTTATGGTTTTAAGTATAAAAATGGGTAGTTACTGTTTCTAATAAAACAGTTTCTTTTGGGAAAGCCATTTAACTTCATCTTTATGCAGAGAACAAAGGCTACAGAAATACAAAAGGTTTGGTAGTTAATATTAATGGAATTATCGATTTAGTAAAATTTAGTTTGTCAATCTTGAGTTTCTAGGCAAACTCGTGGAGCCTAGGTAACAATTTGAATACATTTGACATATATACTCATATAATACCGTGAAGACAATTATAATTCAACCTTTGAACTCCATAATAAACAAAAATGCCAAATCACCACCATTGCTATAATTAAACTGAAACCAATATAAAATCCCTGCTAGAGATTGAATTAGAGTTATGAAAACTAAAAAATATGATGCTCTATTTACAGGCAGTGAAATGTGAATACAGGTAGTAGGAAACTTGCTCTGAAATGGCATGTTTTGAAAATGGGGAGGCTTACCAAGAGCAAGACTGAATGACAAGATCTATAACATCAGAGCCTGCCAAGATCTTTTGTCTGTAAATGGTGATAAAGGTGTTTTATTTTAGCAATACCACGATGATCACTCCCTGTAATGACAACATCGTCTAACATACACAACAAGTAAATACAACCTGTGGCTGAATGGTGACAGAAAGTCGAGTGATCCGACTCACTTTGAATCATACAAACTGCTCAACAACATTGCTAATCTACTAAACCAAAGTCTAGGAGACTAAGGCAACATAAAAATTTTCATAGATGACATACAAGCTCTAAAGACTTCCCCTTCCATCAATTGCATCTTCCTTGGTTATTTTCTGTTCGATAAGAATTCTGTTGTTGTTCTCCGTGTACTCATTGTTTCTATGTATCAGGCGATGTCTCATTCTTCGAAGATACTCTCTGTTCCCCACTTCCTCAAGAAGTGGTAACACAAGGGTCTCTCTCTCAAGCATATCCAATTCCCTCTTATCTTCCTTTTATTCACGAGTTACCTTGTATCATAAGCACTAGACTGGAGTCTTCCATTCCTTTTGGTTCCTCCTCTTATTACCTATCAACTTTGTGCCTTTCTTGTTCCAATGGAGGAAACTATCGTTGAAGAGACTGATGATTCATCTTATGATTTGATCCCTCAACCTACTTCGGCCCAACATGACTAACTTGCGGGCAAGCTGATAGCTCTTGCAAAGGTAACTGTCCTACTAGAAACCCCATCCCATTTATAATTTTTTGAGTTACCATTTCCTTACTCCATCCCGTCGCGCATTTGTGTGTTATCTTTTCTTTGTGACCATCCCCAAATTATACTGGAAGCACTTTCTCATCCAGAGGGAGACAAGCTATGATTGATGAGATGACCGCTTTAGACTCCTAACTAGACTCAGGCTCTCGTGCTCTCCCCTCTAGGGAAATTTATAATTGGCTGTTATGGGTATTTACAATCAAGGTAGGCCCAAATGGTTAGATTGGTCACTTGAAAGCTCGTTATGTAACTAAAGATTAAACTTGAAATTTTGGCTTGGTGGGTGGATAGTTGGGTGGATGGCTCGAATGGATAGTTTCTGATACAATATTAGATTTTTATAATGGGCGTAACTCATCTTTACAAAACCGACTTGTAAGGTCAGGAGTGTCACTCTCTATAAATTCTTTTAAAATCGTTAAGATATTGATATTTATTATAGTATGATTCATCAATGTCCTTTGAGACTATGATATGATTAGAGTCCTATTTAAATTATATCTCTCTCATGTATATAAATAGTTGTTGAAACTGTTAAATGTGCTTGGATCTCATCCCCAAAAGTTAGCTCAAAGGGGCGTGGTTGTCCTCACACATTTATACATTCAACAACCCGAGAACCTAAACAATGTGCGACTCCAAACTATAGAAATACGTTGTATATTTCATTATATCTGGAACTGTTACATTGTGAGGTATATATAGAATACAGTACACTAATTTGTTAATAAACAGAAATAATTTCCTATAATTGCTGCTACCTAAATAAGGAAATCAGAATAATAGATAATAAATCTATTTACACCACTGTTTTGTAACAGCTTGACAAATCAGAATAATAGATAATAAATCTATTTACACCACTGTTTTGTAACAGCTTGACAAATCAGAATAAAATGATTATGATTTGATATGTGCTAATCTTCAACACTCCCCCTCAATCTGGGTGGTAGATGTCTATCATACCCAGATTGGATTTGATATTTTCATAAGTATTCCTTGGAAGAGCCTTGGTTAAGATATCTGTAGTTTGCTTGCATGATGAGACATGATCAATACTTATAATCTTATGATCAATTTTTTCTTTAATGAAGTGTCGGTCAATTTCCACATGTTTTGTTCTATCATGTTGGACTGAGTTCTTTGCAATACTTATAGCAGCGTTGTTATCACATAGTAACCTCACAGTATGGTTCACTGGAATTTTGATTTCATCTAGCATGCTCTTAAGCCACATTCCTTCAGAAATACCTAGGGCCATAGCTCTAAATTCTGCTTCTGCACTACTCCTCGCCACTACAGTTTGTTTCTTGCTTCGCCAAGTTACTAGGTTCCCCCACACAAATGAACAATAACCTGTAGTCGATTTTCTGTCTGTGGAGCATCCTGCCCAATCTGAATCTGTATAAACTTCAATGTCCCTATTTGAATTTCTCTTGAAGTGGAGGCCTCGACCTGGTGTGCCTTTGAGGTATTGGAGGATTCTATTCGCCATTTTCATGTTAGACTCGGTTGGATTTGACATGTAGCGACTAGCCAAGCTTACAGCGAACCCAATGTCAGGCCTAGTGTGAGATAGGTAGATTAGTTTCCCAACTAGACTTTGATATCTATCTTTGTCGGCTGGTGGACTTTCATCTTCTCTTCCTTTTATTTGTTCTATTGGTGTATTAGCTGCCTTGCACCCAAGCATTCCAGTTTCTTGAAGTAAGTCAAGGGTGTATTTCCTTTGTGATACATAGATACCATCCTTTGTTCGAGCAACTTCCATCCCTAAAAAATACTTAAGTTGTCCCAAGTCCTTAACTTCAAATTCCTTTGCCAAGAGTCCCTTTAAATGATCAATTTGATCATAATCATTTCCTGTAATAACGATATCATCCACATAAACAATAAACAAAGCTACCTTTCCTTCCATGGAGTGTTTAACAAACATAGTGTGATCTGATTGGCATTGGTTGAATCCGTCTTTCTTGACAACTCGAGTCAATCTATCAAACCACGCCCTTGGGGACTGCTTGAGGCCATAAAGGGATTTTCGGAGCCTGCACACCATATTTGCGGTGCTGGATGATTCGAGTCCAGGAGGAATCTGCATATAAACTTCCTCTTCTAGGTCACCATTTAAGAAGGCATTCTTGATGTCTAGTTGATGGAGTGGCCAATCTAAATTTGCAGCCAAAGAGAGAATAACTCTAACGGAGTTTAGTTTTGCCACCGGTGCAAAAGTCTCTTCATAATCTACTCCATATGATTGAGTAAATCCCTTTGCTACAAGTCGAGCTTTGTACCGATTTACACTCCCATCTGCATTATACTTCATGGAGAATATCCATTTGCATCCTACCGGCTTCTTCCCTGCAGGTAGGCTTGTGATTTCCCAAGTGTCATTCTTAATTAAGGCCTGAACCTCTTCCGTTACAGCTGCTGCCCATTCAGAATTTTGGAGTGCCTCATGGATGTTGCTTGGAATATGTGTATTGTCAAGAGCTGTTACAAAAGTCTGGTAACTTTGGGACAATTTTCCATAAGATACAAATCTTTCAATGGGATGTTTGGTACAGGATCTTACATTTTTTCTCAACGCAATAGGAATATCAATATCAACATTCACAGAGTTAGGAGCAGTATTACCTGAGGGAACACCATTTTCTGGAGTCTTGGAGGTTTCTTGGTTCTGCCTTGGAGTTGTGCAGGACTCTATTCCCTTCTTGTTCTTCCTGGAGTACACTTTCATGTTGTTTCCTGGTGCAGTTTCTGTTGTAGGGGCTGCAGTTTCTACTGCAATTTCCTCTGTATTTTCTAACGTAGTTTCTTCTGGTCCACATGTAAGTTCTGCAGTTTCTGTTGCATTTTCATTTGGTTCAGGTGTAGGTTTTGATGCCTCTGAAGTGAGTTTGGGTTCAGTTAGATCAAGTTCCAAAAGTTGGGATTCTACCACTTCAATTGGATATGTGTTCTCCCCCTGAATGCCAACTTTGGGGTAATATGGCTGATTCTCAAAAAAGGTTACATCCATGGTGTGGTAGAATTTTTTGTTTTGAGGTGAATAACATTTGTATCCCTTTTGGTGAGGAGAGTAGCCGAGGAATATGCATTTAATGGATTTCAGGTCAAGTTTACTGCGTTGGGGATCAAGATTATGGACAAAGGTTGTGCATCCAAATATTTTCAAAGGAATAGATGTAAGAATACGATTGGTTGGGTATAAGGTTTGGAGAGTGGAGTAAGGCGTATGAAAGTTAAGGATTCGGAAAGACATTCTGTTTATTAGATAGGTTGCAGAGAGGACAGCTTCTCCCCAAAACTGGTTAGGTACATTTGTAGCTAGCATGAGAGATCGGGTTACTTCTAGGAGGTGTCTATTCTTTCTCTCGGCAACCCCGTTCTGCTGAGGTGTATCCACACATGAGGTTTGGTGTATTATTCCATGTTGCGTAAAGTATGAGCTTAGTGCAGAATTATAGTACTCACGACCATTATCACTCCTAAGCACTCTAATTTTGCTTTGAAATTGTGTTTGCACCATGGTATGGAAACATTCAAATATCCTACCAACTTCCGATTTATCTTTCATAAGATAGACCCAAGTGATCCGTGTGTGGTCATCAATAAATGTGACAAACCATCTTGCTCCAGTTACATTTCTGACCCGCGATGGTCCCCATACATCACTATGAATAACATAAAAAGGTTGGGAAGGTTTATAGGGTTGAGGTGGGTGGGGGCTGCGTGTATGTTTGGACAATTGACAAATTTCACATTGAAACAACTTCTGATTTTTATTGAATAGTTTAGGAAGCATTTTTTCCAAGTACATAAAATTTGGGTGGCCTAGTCTATAGTGCCACAGCATTGCAGAATTTTCACTACATGCAGAAACTACAGCGCAAGAGGTTGCCTCGAATTCTGGTTTAGATGCTTCAGCCTGAAGGATATAGAGTCCAGCACATTCTTTAGCATTGCCAATCGTCCTCCCCGACTCCAAAATCTGAAATTCACACAGGTTAGGAAAGAATTTAGTGATACACTTCAAATCCTTTGTAAGTTTACTTATGGACAGCAAGTTACAATCAAGTTTAGGCACATACAGTACTGAACTAAGAGTAATATTTTGCGAAATAATGACTGAACCTTTACCCATGACCTTAGAAAGGGTACCATCAGCAATTCGAACAGTCCAATTATTTTGACATGGAGAATAGCTATCAAAGACAGTCAAATCTCCAGTCATGTGATCAGATGCTCCTGAGTCAATAATCCATGATTTTTGTTTTCCCCTGCTAGTGTTTAGAGCATGCAAAAAATTACCTTTTTGTGCCACAGTAGCTGTACCAATTGTTTGTTGAAGCAATTTTTGTAAGGCTTCCATTTGCTCCTTGTTGAATGGTGATGAGTGAGAATTTACCTCAGCTGTGTTCCCTCTGCTGTCCCGGTTTTTGCTCCATTTTAGCTCTGATGGCTTTCCATGAATGATCCAACATGTGTCTTTGGTATGACCCGGTTTCTTGCAGTGGTCACACCATGGCCGTGTTTTCTTTTGGAAAGATCGATGATCTCCCCTTGCTGCCATTACAGATCCTTCTATAGATGGGGCTGCACTGAATTTTCCAAGCATCACTTTTCTCCTGCTTTCCTCTCTTTGTATTTCCGAGAATGCTTCTCGAATTTTTGGAAGAGGTTTGGTTCCCAAGGATTCTCCCACGAACTTCATCAAGTTCTGTGTTCAAACCTAAGAGAAATTTGTAGATTCTATCTTTCTCCACCAATTCTTTGTACTTCTTTTTATCCTCTGTGCAGCTCCATTCAGCTTCATCATATACATCCAGTTGCTGCCAGTGACGATTGAGAGTATTAAAATACTGTGACTGAGCGGTCTTCTTGACGCAAGTCATGGAGTATGCTCTTGATTTCAAATATTGCAGATGTATTGTCGACATTAGAGTAGGTTTCCTTTACGGCATCCCACATCTCTTTGGCAGTATCATAGTACAAGAAATTTTCTCCAATTTCATTTGTCATGGTGTTTAGCAGCCATGACATTACTAGACTGTTTTCTAGTTGCCATTTTTCAAGGTTGGAATCCCCCTTTTTTGGACACTTGGAGTCTCCTGTGATATAACCTTCCTTCCCTTTTCCTTGAAGGTAGATTTTGACTGAGCGCACCCATTGATTGTAATTCTGGCCATTTAGTTTGTGACCAGTGATAGGAAGAGCATGTCCTTCAGCCAAACTGTTGGCTGAATTTTCTGCTTTAGTATCTGCCATGGGTGGTGCTCAAGGTTTAGGGATGGTTCAGATCTTATGCTCTGATACCATATAGAAATACGTTGTATATTTCATTATATCTGGAACTGTTACATTGTGAGGTATATATAGAATACAATACACTAATTTGTTAATAAACAGAGAAATAATTTCCTATAATTGCTGCTACCTAAATAAGGAAATCAGAATAATAGATAATAAATCTATTTACACCACTGTTTTGTAACAGCTTGACAAATCAGAATCAAATGATTATGATTTGATATGTGCTAATCTTCAACACAAACAAACTACAAACAACTTCAATACCCACCCTCACGCCTAGCATGTCTCCGGGTCCAATTTCCACATTGCAGTCCTTAGCCCGACTCTGATACTATGTTAAATGTCCTTGAGTTTCATCCCCAAAAGTTAGTTTAAAGGGTGAGGTTGCCCTCACACATTTATAGATTCAGCAGTCCGGGAACCTAAGCAATGTAAGACTCCAAACAAACTACAAAACAAGTTCAATAAAAGCTTTTTCATATCAATAAGGAATATTCAGATTCAAGTTGGTATACATAACATGGTTTGAAAACCTTGTTTTCTCTTTGGGTTCAGCCTCAGTCAAGGCTAGCCCTAGTTTAGTTGCAGGGTGTCCCAGGGACACTATTGTCTAGACCCAAACAGTTCAGAGCCTACTGCTGCTAGAGACTTTTTCCACTTCTATTTGGACCAAAGCAGTCCAAAGCCTGCAGCTACCTCACCGCCATAGACTTTTCCACTTCTGTTTGCTACAGTTGTTTACACTTAATTTTTTGGTTCATTGTTTGCTGACTGTTCAACAAGTTTCATCTCCGGCCACATTGTCTCATTTAAGTAATTCTATGGTGTTCCTATCTCACTATGTGGATCATTAAATTTAGATTCTGGTGCTTTGGATCATGTAGTTGCTAATCCGTCTTTTATTTCTCTCTTATTTCTAATTTGTCACCTCCTAGTTTGTATTGGACTTGTGTTGGACTCTACGTCCTTCCTCCTTCTCCTTTCATGAATCCTCTAGTTTGAGGCCTGGTACAGATTGTGTAGTTTCTGCTTCAATGGGGTTGGGTACAGGTTCGAGTTCAATATTTGAGATCTGGTCCGGTACAGTTTGTGCAGGTTCGGTTGTCTCTGGTGTCTTAGGTTGGTATTCTAAAAATTTCAATTGGATATATGTATCCCCTTGAATGCCAACTTTGGTGTAATCGGGCTGATTTTCAAGAAGCTACATCCATAGTGTGGTAGATTTTTTATTTTGGGGGAGAGTAACACCTTTATCCTTTTTGGTGAGGTGAATATCCAAGAAAGATGCACTTGATGGATTTTGGGTTTAGTTTTACTATGGTGAGGGTTGGGGTTGTTCACTAAAGCTAGCATCCAAATGTTTTTAAAGGAATTGAGGAAAAGATTTTTCTGTTGGGAATGAGGTCTGAAGTGTAGAAATAGGGGATTTAAAACCAAGGATACGAGAGGACATTTTGTTTATGAGGTGCGTTGCTGAAAGTACAACTTTTCTCAAAAACTGCGTTGGCACATCAATAAGAAATATTCAGATTCAAGTAAAATGTTATCTCTTTTCAACGTGAGACTTGAGTTTTTCCCAATACCCTTAATATTTCAAATCCAAATCAATTCCCTGATCAATGCTAGTTCTCTTTACCACTTTTCAATGTTTAATTTCAACACCGCTAATTATTTGATCGATCCCAAATGAAGATCTTCGGAAGTATTTGTGAGAAATATATTAGTATTTAAAGCTAGAGCCTCAAGTTTGTTAAATGAATACTTATATTTACTATCAGGCCAAAATTAAATTTATTTTATGCATCAAGATATTAAAGATATGTTTCATTATTGTCCATTCTTGTAATGGTTCCTTTATTATGATTCAGGAATGCTTCGACGTCCTGCTGAGGTTCTTGGGCAAGTCCATGTTGCTACACGAGTACGACCTGTGGATGCCTTGTGGGCTGTGGCTTATGGTGGCCCATTGTCTTTGCTTCCCTTAGCAATAAGTAATATACAAGAAGATACTCTTGAACCACATCAAGGGAATTTTTCTGTGTCAGTAGCGACTACATCTCTTGCTGCTCCGATATTCCGAATTATATCCACGGCTATTCAATATTCGAGGAACAGTGATGAGTTGAGTCGTTGCAGAGGACCTGCAGTTCTTTCAAAGGTTCTAAATTATCTTCTCCAAACCCTATCTTCACTTGGTATTGGAAGAGATGACGGCGTAGGTGATGAAGAACTTGTTGCAGCAGTTGTCTCACTTTGTCTATCTCAGAAGATCAACCACACACTGAAAGTGCAGCTCTTCACCACACTGCTGCTTGATATAAAAATTTGGAGTTTATGCAATTATGGAATACAGAAGAAGCTTCTATCATCACTCGCAGACATGGTTTTCACCAAATCTTCAGTGATGCGAGATGCCAATGCCATTCAAATGCTTCTTGATAGCTGCAGAAGATGCTACTGGACTGTTCCTGAAAAGGATTCAGTAGCTGGAGCAACAAGACCAGTGGGTGAAGTCAATGCTTTGGTTGATGAGCTCTTGGTAGTGATTGAGCTTCTAATAGTAGCAGCATCTCCTTCATTGGTCTCTGAAGATGTTCGATGTTTACTTGGGTTCTTGGTTGACTGTCCACAACCTGGTCAGGTACGTAGTAAAATAGGATGCTTATATTTTCTTTCTCTTTCGTTGTGTAGTATCCAAAAGTAATTCACAGGAAAGATGCTATCACAAAGCACAGAGATACAAAACATTCTTAAGAACATATTTTTAATAATAGAATATTCATGTATAATGTTTCTATGATTCTTATGTGGTCTCCAATTGAGTTTTTTGTTTTACGTTACCTATTTGAGTTTTCACATTAGGAAAGGTTGTTATTTATTAAACCATAATTTTTCTATTTACAAATAAGACACATCCTGCTTCTCTTTGGAGTCCAGTTAGTTGTTGTTTTAGTAGAAAAGTCCTTGTAACGCGAGGTTATCCAGATGCTACAGGCTCTGCATGTGCACTTCTTGTTTACATTGGGAATCATCTTTTATTTCACGTTTTCTTGTATTTAAGGATTGATTATACTTTTGTTCTACATACTCCCTCCGTTCCCTTTTTAATTGTCATTGCAGTAATTTTCTGTTTCTATTTGTTTATCGTTATTAAAGTTCAATGCAACCATATCTATTCCTTTGCCTATAATTCCCTTAACTGTTTATTGCAGAGAGATAAATAAGTGGTATCAAATAATAAATAGTTAAGGGTACTTTAGAAAAAGATAATTAATTTCATAAAAACTAACAAAAGTATTGGTTGTCTAGATATGTGTAAATAGTCTTAAAACGACAATTAAAAAGAAAACGCGGGAGTACTATTTATCTTAATAATTTCTCTTATTTTTTTTATAAAAGTCATTTCTTTTGAGTTTTATTATAAGCTATTTATTATGTGCTGAGAAAGAAGAAACTAAGAGAAGGTACGAAAGAATTTGTGTGTAATGCATACTATTATACACTAATATTAATAACCAGAGTTATCAATCCCATATAGCAGAGCAGCCGACCTAAAAAATGGGATAGCGGATAGCGGGATGACCGATATTTGATTATTTTTTAGACAAATTACATGAATAATAACTATAAATATATATTTAATGTAAAATTAACAAAACAACTCAATACCCATAAAAGATTCACAAATGAAACTATCAAAGGAACAAAGGATTAAAAATAAAGAAAAACAATCACTAAAAACCTCAATGTAAATGGATGTATTGAAAATTGGTTTTCTGAGAGTTATATGTACTATTTGATCGATGTAGCCTCACCCCCTAATGGATAAGATTTGTTTGTTGTTGTTGTATGTAGATGGTTACCTCCAATTCTCATGTTGATTTATTTTGAAAATAGAAAATCTAAGATGACCTTAGAATGCATTTTATCCATTATTTATTAACACTATCACTTATCTAAAGAAAAGTTTACTCATTATTTACTACATTCTCTAGATTTCTAGGGTACTGCATCTCTTCTACAGGTTGGTTGTTCATCCAAACACATCTAAAGCTCAAACATTTGTAGAAGCATTCCTAGCATGTGGCGGGATAGAAACTCTTCTCGTTCTTCTCCAAAGGGAGGCTAAAGCAGGAGAAATTGTTGTCCAGGAATCTGTTTCAAAATTTTGTGGACTTAAAAAAAATGAAACTGATGCTAGCTTTGGGATCATGAAAACATGCCACGATGATGAAGGGTCAGATTTAAAAAGTGAAGCCATTCTACAAGACAATGATCAAGGTTCCGAATCTGTTGACAGTGGCAGCAACCTTGATCCTGGTTCTCCTGATCTGACTATTGAAAGAACGACATCCAACTCTGAAATTCCCCATATTAGGAATTTGGGAGGCATTAGTCTTTCCATCAGTGCTGACAGTGCTAGAAAAAATGTTTATAATGTTGATAAAAGTGATGGCATAGTTGTCGGGATCATTGGTCTCTTAGGCGCTTTAGTAGTTTCTGGGCATTTGAAGTTTGACTCTCATGCTGTTCCCGAAACAACAAGCAACCTTATGGGTGTTGGATTGAATGATGGAGGTGGTACAATGTTTGATGATAAGGTTTCTCTTCTTCTTTTTTCCTTACAAAAGGCTTTCCAAGCTGCACCCAACAGGCTAATGACTGACAATGCTTATACGGCTTTATTGTCTGCTTCGGTATGATTAGTTCCCTATTTAAACGCTACTCTATGGTCTATATACCAATCGAAACACTTGTTATGTTATGTTATGAAACTGCTGTTTGCTAATGTCATTGCATGCCCTTGATTTATTTGGTATAAGTTATTGTTTTATGGCCTTCAAAAGCTTATAGGTTTTTGTTCTTTTTGATCAATACATTTCATGGTTTTCTTTCTTCCGTTTTAGATAAATGCTTCATCAAGAGAGAATGGGATGGACTTCCATGATTCAGGTCATCGCTTTGAGCATTCACAATTTTTATTGGTGCTTTTGCATTCCCTTCCATTTGCACCCAGGCCTCTTCAGAGTAGAGCATTACAGGTATTAGCTTAACAAACCTCATTTCCAATTCCAACAATATATTAGTATTTTCAGTGTCTTATTTTTGCACTTTCTTGACTTATGCATTAGTTTTTCCGATCCAAATTTTTCAATAAATGATAAGCATCTCATAATAGCGCTTGATTGTATCTTAGATTCAATTGGAGTTTCTTAGATTATCAGCTCATACATGATAAAATAGAGGGGTAAAATATGTTTATTCCTATAAAATCGAAAAAATATACTGAATTTAGCCCCCAAAAATAACTTATACGTTTAGTCCCTAAATATACAAAAGTTGAGTGTTTTTAGACCCAGATGAGGGACATGTTTAGAATAAAAAGAAACTTTTTTTTTGGGTTAAATACAGGGATTACAATCATAACAGTTATAGGCACTAAGACTTTAACACAATTCAAACTTTTTAAGGGACCAAAAAATACTTAACCCTAATAGATTCTGTATTGGGCGGGCCTAAGCCATTCTTACAAAACCGACTTGTTTTTAGGTGAGGGGGTGAAATTCTTTATAAACCCATTTCAAACCGTATCTCTTCAATGTCAGACTTGAGTTTTTTCCACCACACCTCTTCATACTCTACAATATTGTGAAAATGAAAAAAACTAGAATAGATATATGGTAGGTAAGTAAAATGCTAAAATGGCCGTTAGGCAAGGCCAAAATAAGAGCATTTGACAATTTATACTCTCTTCATTCATTTCTTTCTAGTATCATAAGAGAAGTTCTGACAATTCCATGTCTTGACCCTAACCACTTGTTGTGTTAGTCAAGGAATGTAGGGCATGCTTGTCCCACTACTACTATATAGAATGCCTCTATGGAATTTATTGGGATTAAGTAAGAGTTCTAGTTATGGATATGTTTTCTGATGGAAAACTTGTTTTATGGCCCTAGTTTTAAGCCCACCCTTTGTGTACGATTTCAGGATCTTCTATTTTTGACTTGCAGTCATCCAGAAAACAGAGGCAGACTAACAAATATGGAAGAATGGCCTGAATGGATTCTTGAGATTATGATTTCAAACTATGAGGTAATAATTTGTGCAGCTTAATTCTTCTTAATCTCCCCATTCTTTACTTTCTTTTATTTCTCGTTAATAAATATTATCCATATATGTAAATAATGCATACAAAATGTATGTTTAAAAAATACATAAATATAGTTGTCTTTTAGTGAATACATGTTAACTTTTTATGTAAAGTTATTATTTTATGGTATAATATTTTAGTTATTTTACTATGCATACTTCAACTATGATACTTACCTTTTTGCCCTGACAGTTGGGTCCAAGCAAACCATCTGACACGACAAGCCTAGGAGACATAGAGGACCTTTTACATAACTTCCTTATCAACATTCTAGAGCATTCAATGCGTAAAAAGGATGGATGGAAGGTTGATATTTTTTTGAATTATTAACTTCCCTTACATAGTTTATGCACGTTCATGATGTTTTGTCTACAACCTACTCGCACAATAATTTGTTTCACGAGGTTCGTTCATACTTTGTTGTATTTCTCAATTTTGTAGGATATTGAAGCAACAATTCATTGTGCAGACTGGCTCTCGATTATTGGTGGATCTAGCACAGGAGAACAGCGAATTAGGTAAGTTTGTAGATCTGCTTTGGGCATTCATAACTTTTCCTTCTCCCTTACTACTGCCATGCTTCTAGTTGTCTATCATGGTATCATGTTTCTTCTCTTACTTGATACTGGTTGACTTTGTTTCTGAACTAAACATTAAACTATTTCCTACTATGAGAACATCCTCGTGAGGCCACCACAAGCTTTGATAACAACTAGATTTCTATACATTTAGATGGGAGGAATAATTTTTGAAGCTATGCATTTGTCCAATTTCATGGTTTTCAGTGAAACATACTGTAGATTATATTTTTTCAAGGTACATTATTTGGAATTGATACATTGCATACACAATATATGACGAATTCATCGTGATGTGATATTACAGGTCTAGGTGTTGTTAAGTTAGACCTATTTCACTAAGTTTAGATCAGGAGTAAGTTCTAATATTGGATGGAAGTCTCAGACATTCGATGAGGAAATATGAAAAGCAGTAGGGATCCATGTTCTTTGTTTATTTACAGGGAACCCATAGTGGTACATTAATTTTTGTCTGTGGCTGGCTTGAATAAATACATCAAGTGATATTAATGAATATGAACATGTGGTACTTTGAACAAGTAAAAAGTATTTCATCATTTAAGAGTATGTTTATTACAATGAAGATGTGCTCCTTTTATAGGAGAGAGTACATAACAAGATTCCACAAATTATGGAGTTAAAATAGAATACTCCCTCCGTCCTAAATTATATGAGGTTTTGTTCATTTCACACAATTTAAGGAGTGTAATTAATTTTGTATGGGAAAGAGAAATTAGGTGTAATTTTACGAAATTGTCTTTCATTATTGACATATACAAAGAAATAAAAAGAATTAGAGTAATAAATAGTAGATGATTGAATAGAAAAAACTCTTTAATGGTACGTTGTTAATGTAAAATGACCTATAGTTTGGGACACTTTTTGTAAAGTGAGTTATAATTTGAGACGGAGGGAGTACAATAAACATAAAATCAAGTAGTATCTAGCTAATAATGATTAAATAGATCAACAACCCCCTTCGATTTGTTGCATAAATATCAATCATGCCTGACTTGTTAATCTAATGCTCAAATCTTGTTCTTGCTAAACTCTTGGTCAAAATGTTTTATTGTTTGCTGATTTGAAGGCATAAAAGATAAAGTATTCTCGAATATATTTTCGCTTTTATAGAGTGACGTCGATTTTAATACATTTTGTTCAATCATGTTGAATCGGATTATGGACTATGCTTATGGTGACCTTGTTATCACAATACAATTTCACTGGAAGTTCTACTGTCATCTTTAGCTCTTTTAGAACACCTTAAATCCAAAGGCCCTCATAAATTTTGAATATCAGAGTAGGTGTCTTTTACACCATCCCATACTTGATTTTCTGTAGGCAGAAATATGAATGGTTTTTCAATACCTGCCTCCAGTGAATTAATTAGTCGGACAATAATTAAAGGGTTTATATATTTTCGGAGCCAGCTAAGTAAATATAAAATCAAGTAAGGTTACTCAATGCAGTTATTTACCTTGCATGTAATCCTTTATTCTCTTGTGCTTTTTCTCAACCAATTATTTCTCTCAATAAATTTCTACGATCCTGTCTAGACTTTAGAAAAAGGATTATGAAGAATCTTGGGGAAGACTTCTAATTTTTCTATACCACCATTTATTTCATTGTCTTGATAAAATGTTTCTTGTGACATATTTAACCTTTTGTCTTCGTGATTTACATAATAATTCTTCCTTGGTTAATGTCTTGAAGACGTGAAGAATCATTACCTATATTTAAGAGAAGACTCTTAGGTGGCTTGATGGACTTCGCAGCCAGAGAGTTGCAGGCTCAGGTACATATTGTTTTCTATACTATTGGTAATTCTGTCCTATTTGTCTACTGATTTACTTTTTCCCAAAAGTTAATTTTGGTTATCAGCATCCCCTTTCATTTAGAAAAATAAAATCTATCCACCTTAGAAATTAAAATATTTATGTAATACTTGAGACTGTTTTGGTGCTGAATAGCTTAAGAGATTAGTTCTCAATGTTTCTATTTATAATGACGACTGTTCAAAAGGTATTCCGTGATTATAGGGATTAAATATCCTATATCAATCTGATTACACTAGAGATATGTCATATATGCATGGAAATAGGGAATATTTACGCAGAAGAAAAATAAGAAAGAAAAACACTTTGGTAATTATAAATCAAATATTCTAATTGTAGAAAGAGAGAAGTAATATGAATAATCAAAAGATACCCTACAATGTGTAGTTACCCTAATATTTTTATTAATATGTTAAAAGAGTAATACATAAGAAAGATAAATGGATCAAACCCATATACATAATACTGATAATACTAAACCCTAGTAATATATTATTATAATATAACAACTTTCCTCAAGCTAGAGCATAGTATATATTAATGGTGCCCAGCTTGTTACAAATGAAATCACTAGACCCTTCAATGCCTTTGTAAACAAATTTGCTAGTTGATCTCCTGTCCTAACATATGAAGTAGATATGAGATTTCTTGAACCTTCTCTTTGATAAAGTGACGGTCTATTTTTAAATTCATAAGCATAACTCACTAGTAAGATAATTAAAACCTTAAATCACTCTTCAAATACTAATATAATTTTAAATTCACTCATAAGCATAATCACATAAACGTTTCAAAGATCGTAAGATTATACAATTCAACGATTAACTTGGGGGATTCTACCAGATTCCACCAAAATAGGATTATGTGTATACTCTTAATCGCCGAGGAGGGCAAGTATAATCTCAAATCGTGGGATTTTACAGTAAAATCAGGATTTTGACTACCATGATTAAGTCATATCGAAACATTGTGTACAAGAATAAATACAAATGAAATTATTTATATTTCTCATTGTTTGTTCTAAAGAAGGGAATTAAAATGGGATTTATGTCTACATTCATATTTTCCTTACTGCAGACACAAGTTATTGCTGTGGCAGCTGCTGGTGTTGCAGCCGAGGGTTTGTCTGCAGACGATGCTAAGGCAGAGGCAGAGAATGCTGCTCAACTGTCTGTGGCCTTAGTAGAAAATGCTATTGTGATACTTATGCTTGTTGAGGATCATTTACGGTTCCAGAGCAAACAATCCTCTTCTTTGCGTGCAGCAGATGGCTCTCCATCTCCTCTTTCTCTCTTTTATCCAGTCAATAATAACTCAACAACCATAATCAGAGAATCTACAGAAGTTATGGGTGATCGTACATCATCATCTAGAAATTCTGGGGGCACCTCAACTAGAAATTCTGGGGGAATCTCTCTCGATGTGAGCATACTGTAATTTTAAGAGTATAAATTGCTCTCTTATGCTTTTCCTTCATACCTGCAAAGCTCATGGAATTGCATGCCATCCTATTCTTTATAAGCATTTTCTAAAAAAGAATACTAATAGTTGCTTATATGACTTTAAAATTGTATTTTTACATTGCTTTATCTTATGTCTCCCTAAATATCCAACTCTTAGGCGTGCCCTTTGTATTTAAGTATCTTTTTTTGTTCTTGCCTTCTTTTAGTTTATTTGCATTCTTGTTAGTATGACTTTGTTAGCCCCTATCACCCTCTTCTCTCTTACTCTCTCCTTAGTCTTTTGTATGTTCATTTTTACATGTGCCAGACTTATGCTGTAAAATATTTTAGGTCCTTTCTTCAATGGCTGATGCATATGGTCAGATCTCTACTTCAGTTATGGAAAGGCTTGCTGCAGCTGCTGCAGCTGAGCCTTATGAGTCCGTTTCTTGTGCTTTTGTATCATATGGGTCTTGTGCTAAGGATTTAGCTAATGGATGGAAATTTAGGAGCCGTTTATGGTATGGTGTTGGCCTTCCTTCAAATATAGCTTCATTTGGTGGTGGTGGGAGTGGATGGAATGTTTGGAAGTCTTCTTTGGAGAAAGATGCCAGTGGCAACTGGATTGAGCTTTCTTTGGTGAGGAAGTCTGTGGCAATGCTCCAAACATTGTTGCTAGATGATTCTGGGCTTGGTGGGGGTCTTGGCATAGGTAGAGGGTCAGGTACCGGAATGGGTGCAATGGGTGCTTTATACCAGTTATTAGACAGTGACCAACCATTCTTGTGCATGCTTCGGATGGTTCTTCTATCAATGAGGGAAGAGGATGGTGTGCTGATCACGACTATGAATATTGAGGATGCGATATCTGAAGGAGAGAAACCATGCTCGGCACTTTTGTGGAGGTAAACCAATTTCCATGATCTGACTTACATCAAGCTCATTTTTCCCCTTTATTGATAAATTACCCTTGGAAAATTCCAAACAAGAATAGCTACATTAACATTTACTCATATTTCTGTAGGTCAGCAAATACTTAGATGTTAAATGTATCTTTTTACTCCCTAATGTAAAAGAAAAAGAGTTCGAAAACAATTAGTTCAAAAATCATAATACTTCACTGTTTAATCTGTAGTTTGGAAATAGATTCAGAAGTAAAGTTCATATAATTGATACTCCACTTGCTTAGATTCATTGTGTAATTTGAATAATTTAGAATGAATGACATGCGTTACCCAATGAGGATATACAAATACATATAAGAGAGAGAATCTCCTCTTTTTTTTCTAAGCAAAAATAAAAGTTAAAGTGAAGAAAAAGATGAAGGCACAAACATCCCAACTAAGTTGATACTTCTGAACCCACACCCAAACTGCTTAACTCTAACCAGTATTATTAAAAGAAAAAAGTTTGGTTGACTAAGCCAAAACCCAAGGTAACAACAATGCAGACCTTAGTGATTGGTCAACTGCATTATTAAAAACCTTATCAAGAGAAATCTAGTGGAATAACAATTTGATGAAGGGAAAAAGAGTGCAATTTGAATTAAAAAAAAACATTGCTTAAATCTAAACTCAAGAAGACCAAGCCTATTAGAATTCTAAACATCAAAAACATCATTAGGAACTTGATCCCACCAAGTGAAACTAGATCCCACCAAGTGAAACTAGATCCATTCAGACCAAGGGAGGCAATCTTGTCTGCGCATTAGTTACCTTCCCTATAAATATGAGAAATCACAAAATGCATATGTTTGAGAAACTCTAAACATTTAAGTCATCTAGAAGTGAGATGCCATTGAGCAATTGCATCGTTCTTAAATGCCAAAATAAGGAAAAGTAGTAAACTAAGAAAACTATATCTAGAATAATAAATGGAGAGAATAATCTTAATTATGAGTATAATCAACATCCCCTCAAGTTGGAACATATATATCATATGCATCCAACTTGTTACATATAAAATCAATTTGAGGTCCTCAGAGAGATTTCGTGCATATATCAGCCAACTGATTGTTGGAGTTCACGGAAGAGGTTCTAATAATGCCACAAAGGATCTTCTTTTTTATAAAGTAGCAATCAACTTCTATTTGCTTAATTCACTCATATGAAAGACAGGGTTTGAAAGATACACACTATCGTCGGATTATCACACATAGGTTCTATAAGACTAAATTTACAAAATTTCAATTCTTAGAGTATGTGTTTCAACTGCCAAAAATCACAAATAGTGGGGGCCGTAACATGATACTCTGCCTCAATGCTTGACATCGCAACAATAGATTGATTCTTGTTACAAACTTGCTTTTTCATGAAATTAAGTTTCCTCCAATCAAAACACAATAGTTGGAAGTAGATTTTCTATCACTAGCATCACTCGCCTAATCTACATATTGTGGAATAATCATATCAGAATCAAAATGATTCTGTTTGTACAGCTCATTAAAGATTAGGATTAATGTAATTAACTAGTTATTATTTCCTGGTCTTTTCTGTAATTAGAATTAGTATTCATGGGAAATTAATTCCCCCGATTCTTAAGTCAGATTTTTCTTCCAAATCCTGTCTTATGTGTTCTAGAAATACAGTATATGTAATTCTCATCAAATACAAGGAAATATAAAATATATTTCTACATGGTATCAGAGCACGATCTGAGCCATCCCTAACCTAATGCCGCCAAACTATGGAGGATCCCAAATTTGATGAATCGCTCAAAGTGGAGACTGGATCATTTCCGACCAGTTCACATGAAGGGCTCACTCACCTCATCACAGGCCATAAATTAAATGGCCAAAACTATACCCAATGGGTAAGGTCAGTCAAGATCTTCCTCGAAGGAAAAGGAAGGGAATACACCACAGGAGATTCTAAATGTCCCGAAAAAGGAGACAAAAACTTTCAGAAATGGAAACTTGAGAACAGCCAAGTAATGTCATGGCTGCTCAATACCATGACAAATGAAATTGGTGAAAATTTCATCTTCTATGACACTGCAAAAGAGATATGGGATGCAGTGAAGGAAACATACTCAAATGTTGACAATATATATGTCGTATTTGAGATTAAAAGCATTCTTCATGACCTTCGACAGGGAGAATCTTCTGTTACTGAGTATTTTAATATACATAACAAGCACTGGCAGCAACTCGACATATATGAAGAGGTTATATTGTGTTGTACAGAAGATCAAAAGAAATATAAGGAACTGGTGGAAAAAGATAGGATTTACAAATTCCTATTGGGGCTAAACAAGGACCTAGATGAAGTTCGTGGAAGGATCCTTGGGACCAAACCACTTCTCAAAATTCGAGAAGCCTTTTCAGAAGTGAGAAGGGAAGAAAGCAGGAGGAAAATCATGTTGAGAACACCCAACTCAGTTCCGTACAGCGAGAGCTCTGCAATGGCAGTAAGAGGGAATCAACCTCGGCCACCACAAAAGAAAAGCCGCCCCTGGTGTGATCACTGCAAGAGACCAGGCCACACAAAGGAAACATGTTGGATCATACATGGAAAATCTTCAGAGACCAAATTGTTCAAAGGCAAGGAGGGCAGAGGTAACACAACATTTAACAATCAAGAAGCTGAGGTATACTCTAACTCATCTCTTTTTAGCAAAGAACAAATGGAGGCTCTTCAAAAAACTCTTTCAGCAAACCATGTTAATTTCAGAAAAAGGTGGTATGTTGGATCATACATGGAAAATCTTCAGAGACCAAATTGTTCAAAGGCAAGGAGGGCAGAGGTAACACAACATTTAACAATCAAGAAGCTGAGGTATACTCTAACTCATCTCTTTTTAGCAAAGAACAAATGGAGGCTCTTCAAAAAACTCTTTCAGCAAACCATGTTAATTTCAGAAAAAGGTGGTACTGTCGTAGTGGCTTAAAGAGGTAATTACTTACATGCTCTAAACACTAGTAAGGAAAAACCAAAATCATGGATTGTTGACTCAGGGGCTTCAGATCACATGACTGGAGATTTTACTTTGTTTAATAGTTATTCTCCATGTCCATATAACTATAATGTTCGAATAGTTGATGGTACACATTCTAAGGTCATGGGTAAAGGATCAATTATCATTTCACCAAATATTACACTTGACTCAGTTTTGTATGTGCCTAAACTGGATTGTAACTTGCTCTATTAGCAAGATTACAAGAGATTTGAAATGTGTTATTAAATTCTTCCCTAACTTGTGTGAATTTCAGACTTTGGAGTCGGGGAAGACGATTGACAATGCTGAAGAGTGTGCTGGACTCTACCTCCTTCAAGTGGAAAAATCAGAAGAAAAACTCAAGAATAATTATCATGTTGCAGCTGCAGTTTCAAGTGATAATAATCCTGTAATGATGTGGCACTATAGATTAGGCCACCCAAATTTCATATACTTGGAAAAAATGATTCCCTCTTTATTCAATAAAAACAAGGAACATTTTCAGTGTGAAATTTGCCAATTGTCTAAACATACTTGAAACCATTACTTACCCTAATCCTATAAACCCTCCAAACCTTTTTCATTAATTCATAGTGATGTATGGGGACCATCACGAGTCCACAACATTACAGGCTCGAGATGGTTTGTCACCTTTATTGATGATCACACACGTGTCACCCGAGTGTTTCTAATGAAGGAAAAATCAGAAGTAGGGAGAATATTTGAAATTTATCATAAGATGGTACAAACACAATTTCAAAGCAATATTCAGATACTTAGAACTGACAATGGTCGTGAGTATTACAACCTTGCTCTAAATTCCTATCTTCAAAAGATTGGAATTATTCACCAAAGCTCGTGTGTGGACACTCCCCAACAAAATGGAGTAGCAGAAAGGAAGAATAGGCACATTTTGAAAGTGACTAGATCAATCATGTTAGCCACAAATGTCCCACAACACTTTTGGGGAGAAGCTGTCCTTTTAGCAACTCACCGTATAAATCGGACGCCCTCCCGTATCCTTAACTTTAAGACCCCACTCTCCACACTTCAAAACCTATTTCCAACCAACAAAATTTTTTCCTCTATTCCATTAAAAATATTTGGATGCTCAACTTTTGTCCATAACCTCAACCCTCACCGAAGCAAATTAGACCCAAAATCCATCAAATGCATTTTTCTTGGTTACTCTCCTCACCAAAAGAGATATAGGTGTTACTCTCCCAATACCAATTTTTTTTACCACACTATGGATGTAACCTTCTTTGAAAATCAACCCTATTACACCAAAATTGGTATTCAGGGGAGCAATCATACATACATCATATCGAAAATTCAGAATACCAACTTTTGCCTCTTGAACTAGTCGAACCTATGCCTAAACCAGCTGGAAAATTACCAGACCAAACCTCTAACATTCATCCGAGTGAAAGGACAACAGAAGCTGTGACGGAAACAGGACCAATTATAATCTCATCCACATCTCAACAGGATTGTGATCCAAAAACAGGTAATTGGAAGGGTTTTTGTTATAAAAGGAGGAGGAAGGAGGTAAAGTCAAGCATAGCTCCAATGCAAAGCCATGAGTCAAACCAGACTCTAGAAAATGAAGTTCCCACAGGTAATATTCTTTCTAATTCTGAACGTGTTGATACAACAAATATTGATATTCCTATTGCTATGAGAAAAGGGGTTAGAACTTGCACGAAACACCCTATTGAAAAATACATCTCCCATGGAAAACTATCACAAAGTTACAGGTCCTTTGTAGCAGTTGTTGACAACATCGAAATTCCAAATAATATTCAAGAAGCATTGCAGAAACCTGAATGGGCAGCAGCTGTAATAGAAGAAGTTCAAGCACTTGTAAGAAATGGCACGTGGGAGATCACTGCAATACCAGAAGGGAAGAAAGCAGTAGGATGCAAGTGGATATTTTCAATTAAGCACAATGCTGATGGGAGTATAAACAGGTACAAAGCCCGGTTGGTTGCTAAGGGGTTCGCACAATCATATGGGGTGGATTATGAGGAGACTTTCGCCCCTGTTGAAAAACTCAATTCTGTCCGGGTTCTACTATCTCTGGCAGCAAATCTAGAATGGTCCCTACACCAACTAGATATAAAGAATGCACTTCTAAATGGAGAATTAGAAGAAGAGGTATATACGCAAATTCCTCCGGGACTTGAATCACCTGGAACCTCAAACAAGGTGTGTCGACTTCGAAAATCTCTATATGGCCCCTCAAACAATCACCAAGGGCATGGTTTGATAGACTAACAAAAGTTGTCAAGCAAGATGGTTTTGTTCAATGTCAAACAGACCATACTATGTTTGTCAAGCACTCTTTAGATGGGAAGATAGCTTTGTTTATTGTCTATGTTGATGATATCGTAATTACGGGAGATGATGATGAACAAGTCAACCAGTTAAACAAACTTCTAGCAAAAGAATTTGAAGTCAAAGACTTAGGACAACTCAAGTATTTTCTAGGGATGGAAATTGCACGAACAAAGAATGGGATTTCAGTTTCTCAAAGGAAGTACACTCTGGATTTACTTCAAGAAACAGGTATGCTTGGATGCAAAGCTGCCAATACTCCCATAGAACAAGTAAAAAGGAGAGAAGATGAGAACGTACCCGCTAATAAAGATAGATATCAAAGCCTAGTCGGAAAACTAATCTATCTAACTCACACCAGACCAGACATTGATTTTGCTGTAAGCATGGCTAGCCGTTATATGTCAAATCCAACTGAAGCTGACATGAGAAATGTGAACAAAATTCTCCAGTACCTGAAAGATACTCCAGGCCGAGGACTTTATTTTCAAAAGAACTCAAACAGAGGTATTGATGTCTACACCGATTCTGATTGAGCAGGATGTTTATCTGACACAAAATCGACTACAGGCTACTGCACATTTGTATGGGGTAATATGGTAACTTGGAGAAGCAAGAAACAATCTGTTGTGGCTAGGAGTAGCGCAGAAGCAGAATTCAGAGCTATGTCACAAGGTATTTGTGAAGGAATCTGGCTTAAGCGAATGCTAGATGAGATCAAAATTCCTACCAATCACCTCATGAAGATATTATGTGATAACAAGGCTGCTATTAGCATTGCGAAGAACCCGGTACAACATGATAGAACAAAGCATGTGGAGATAGACTGACACTTCATCAAAGAGAAAATTGATAATGAAATTATAAGTGTTAACCATATTCCATCAATGCCAACAAACTGCAGACATTCTTAACAAAAGCCCTTCTAAGGAACATATACGAGAATATCAGATCCAATCTGGGTATGATAGACATCTACCACCCAGATTGAGGGGGAGTGTGGAATAGTCATAACAGAACCAAAATGGTTCTGTTTGTACAGCTCATTAAAGATTAGGATTAATGTAATTAACTAGCTATTATTTCCTGATCCTTTCTGTAATTAGAATTAGCATTCATGGGAAATTAATTCCCCTGATTCTTAGGTCAGATTTTTCTTTCAAATCCTGCCTTATGTATTCTATAAATACAATATATGTAATTCTCATCAAATACAAGAAAATATAAAATATATTTCTACACGTATGAATGTCCAATAATGTCGTTTAACATACCTTAAGATCTAAATTGCTACACTCTAATGACTAACACAAGGTGAGATTAGAAAATGATTGACAACACCAACAACAAACGAGGTATTTGGTTTGGTCCTTGTGAGATAGTTTAATTTTCCCACTAATCTCCTGTATCTACCAGGATCTGGGTATGGCTCCCCTGATTTGGTAGAAGTTTCAAGTTGAGGTCCATAGGATCATCAACTGGTTTACAATAAAAATCCATGCATATTCTAAGATATTGAAGCACACACTCCAACACGGACGGACACGACACAGATACTCTGACTTCGATAATATCGAAAACATCGGACACTGACACCGCTACAAATGATAAAATTTAGAATTCGTTTATCCATCTATTATTAGAAAAGTTAAAAATATTCTAATCAAAATTAATTTCTTTAATTCTTCATTGTTGACATTGTTTCAATACTTGTTTAACCTTTTTAGACGCGTGGAGGTTTGACTAAAAAATGTATAAGGTATGTTGAACCAAAGAAAAAAAAAACAAATTTCTTTTGAAACACTTGTCTGATACGTGTTGTATAAGTGTCATACTGGTGTCAAACGCCGACTCAGAGAGTGTTAAAGCAAAGAAAAAAAAATCATTTTTTGGTGACACTTGTTTGATTTTTCCGGCACTTGTCTCACTTTTCCGACACATGTCGTACAGATGTCATACAAGTGTCGGACACCGATGCGTGTCAGGGTGACATGCCAACTCCTAGAGATGCCCGTTCTTCATAGATTGAGAGCATATTTTCTGAGACATAACAATGCTTGCCTATGACCAAGCTACTTCAATGTCAAAAAATAGTGCAATCAACATAAACATTTATGAAAGTGGGTGGATAAATGTTGTTTTAGATCTTTGATGCCTTGATCATATCATATAAATATTAGAATGATGTATTTGTAACAAGCATTAAGTTAAGTAATGTTTAACGGGAGGGGGAGTGTTTACATTCAGGAAACATATCATATAAATATGGGCTAGTGTTAGTACTTGGTATAAATATGGGCTAGTGTTTATTTTTCTGTAATAACATCTTACATATAATTCAATTTCAGATCATATCAATATAGTTTCATTCTTGAGTATTCCTTTTCCTCAATACAACAACAGCCCACTTTATTCCACTAGGTGGGATCAACTACATGGATCAAAAAGTGTCATATCCATCGTTCTCTGATGTCCGTTGTTTTGTACAATGGATCCAAGATATTTAAATAATGTTTTACCTTTTTTTTATGGATCATATCTTGTTTGGGACCTTATTTTATCCTCAGGGATTTTATCTTATCTTTATTAAGTTATTTGTTTCCTTATTTCATTATGGTTAGAAGTCCAGTTTCAATCCTTAATCCTATTATAATTAGGTGTTAGTGTTTTGTCCACTGTATCATCACATCACAATACACCATATATTAATTTAATATCCTACTATTCTGAGTCTCCATTCTGCCTCTTCATCTTTGCTTACCTAAACCTGATAGATAATTGATGTCCTCTTTATTTGTGCTTTTCAACAGTGTTCTATCACCTGTTCTGAACATGCCAGTTTCTGATTCTAAGAGACAACGGGTCTTGGCAGCATCGTGTGTGCTGTATTCCGAGGTTAGTATTTTCTTCTTCTAAAACTTCCAATTTTTCTTTCAGTGTTATCCATAGTATTTGCCATTTATCTTTCTTTTGTGCACAACCATTGTAATTACTATAGGACAATATATGGCCAGGTATACCATGCTGTTAGCATCGACCAAAAGCCTCTTCGTAAAAAGTACCTTGAGGCTATTTTACCAGCATTTGCTGCTGTCTTAAGAAAGTGGCGACCCCTTTTGGCGGGAATTCATGAACTTGCAACAGCTGATGGTTTCAACCCTCTTAATGTGGATGATAATGTACTGGCAGCTGAGACCCTGCCAATTGAGGTATTCCAATGTACATGTGCTTTTCCATGCTTACATGCTGAAATAGATATAAATGCATGCATTATACATGCATAATTGCATGTAGCCTATATGCCTATGTGCATGAATTGTTCTCATTCTTACCATTTTAGAATGTGATGGAATTCGTCTCTATGTTAACACTTCCATGTTTTCGTGAAACATTCTGCTACCAATTGTGAGTACTGGGATTTTCACCGAGTGCTAACTTTTTAAAGTGGAATAATTTGGTTTTGTTTGCTTGTCACTGCAATAATACATGTACAAGAAAGTTCAAGTTGTCTGCAACTAAAGAGCTTCTTTATAAGCTAATATTCTATTCATTCATAAGATTTTCATCTATTAACTTATTTGTGCATTCTGACATTTCTTCCAGGCTGCTCTTGCTATGATATCTCCTGCATGGGCTGCTGCTTTTGCATCTCCACCTGCTGCAATGGCATTGGCTATGATTGCAGCTGGTACTTCGAGTGCTGAAAGTAACGCACCTTCAACAAGTGTCCAGCTTAGGCGTGATACCTCATTAATGGAACGCAAACAGGCTAGGCTTCATACATTTTCAAGCTTTCAAAAACCTTTAGAAGTCCCCAGTAAAACACCACCCATACCAAAGAACAAAGCTGCAACAAAAGCAGCGGCATTTGCAGCTGCTCGTGATCGACAACGGTTTTCAAGGATTGGTTCTGGAAGAGGCCTTAGTGCTGTTGCAATGGCTACATCGGCACAGAGAAGGAATGAGAGTGATATGGAGCGAGTTAAGAGGTGGACTATTACTGAAGCTATGGAAGTTGCATGGACAGAGTGTTTGCAGCCAGTTGATACAAAGTCGGTATATGAGAAGGATTTTAATGCACTTTCTTATAAATTTATTGCTGTTCTTGTTGCCAGTTTCGCCTCAGCAAGGAATATACAACGGGCTGAGGTTTGTTAACTAATTGATACTAGGGTTTTTGGATTATATTGAGTTGAGATACTGTTTGTTGTTAAGTATTTCTTTGTTGCCAGGTTGACAGGCGAGCCCATGTAGATTTATTAACTCGGCGTCGAATCAGTACTGGAATTCGTGCATGGTGCAAACTTATTCACCAGTTAATTGAGATGAGAAGTCTTTTTGGGCATTTCGCAGATCATTTATACAGCCCGCTCCGTGTATGCTCTGATATATCTGTCTAAGTTGTTACCGAACTTGCATTCTTTGTAGCTTCTAGTCTCTTTCTGTCCATAGTTTTTCTTTGATTAGTATAAAAATGAACTCTAGGAAGATGTGTACTGATTTTGTTATTCGGTGTATACAAAATCCTAAAACTCAAAAACATGATGACTTTTCTAAGTTGACATCTATGCTTGGGGCTTTTGGTTTTGCAAAAAATAACTGGCTTCTCTTTTGAGCTGATGCTCTGTTTTTCCTGTTTGTTTTCTTTTCCTACACATGCTATTTTGGAGGATATTCTATCTGCCCAACTGATGCTTTCTAATATTAAAATGTTATCTAGATAATTTTTAATGCGTGATGTCACCACAATGATTACTTTATAATGTTCAGGTTTTCTGGAAGCTAGACTTTATGGAAAGTTCTTCTCGGATGAGAAGATATATGAAGAGGAATTACCGAGGATCTGATCATTTAGGTTGCGCAGCTAATTATGAGGATTATTCAGGAGATACGAATTATCAGAGGACTCCAGTTTTGTCTGCAGATGCAATCTCAATAGAGGCTATAAATAAAGACGAAGAACGGGTGGAAACTGAGAATTTGGATACTAAGGTCAATAATATTGCAGAGAATCAGCCTAGATTTTCTGAATCCGCAGACAAGACAGTGCAAATATCTTTAGAATCCAATGGTACTCAGCTTCAAAGTCATAAAGGTGATATTCAGAGTTCTTCAGCCTTTGCACCTGGGCGTGTTCCGAGTGAGCACGATGAAAGAATTGTTCTCGAGCTACCATCATCAATGGTCCAGCCACTTCGGGTTTTACAGGGAACTTTCCAAGTAAGTGAATGATCTAATTTAAAAGTAAATTTGAAACAGTCTTGATGATATTGCTTATATATAAATTGTTGGAATTTCCGCCTTAATTGCGGTCCGCCCCTAGTCGCCTTAATTGCGGCATTTGGCTTTCCTTCATTGCAGCCCCCAACACCTTCATTGTGTTGGGTTTGAAGGGATGGATTTAGCCCCACATTGCTTAGAGATATGGCCTGTGTTGTGTTTATAAGTGGGGCCGATCATCACCTTACTAGCCGGTTTTATAGGGATGAGTTAGACCCAACCCAAAATTCTGAGATAAATATAGATTTTTTTTATATGTGTCTTACGTTCTATTGTATTTTCAGAAGGTTGTTGGTAGAGACAAGAGCAAAATTTAACTAAATAAACAAGTGGAAAGAAAAATAATATTGTCACATTTTTTATTGTTAACTTCTGCCAAGTCCATGAAAGCCATCATAAAATGTTGGTCCTTGGGACTAGAACATACCTAATATTTACCAAAAAGGATCCAACATAAAGTAGCAGAATAGGTTAGAAACAGATGTGGAACTGGTCCTGAGCCAGTGAACTTCATAGCAAAAATAAGGAAAAATGGCCTTATTCAACATACAATCCTGCAAAATATCATAAGTGAACTTACACAGAGATGGATAAAGAGATCCAATTAATGTTTTGTTTAGTAACTTTTCTGGCCAATGATGAATGGGTTTTTGTTACTCTTTCTTCTTTTACCCATGGTTTTGTAGTTTTGGTTGCTTTCTAGAACCAAAATACACGGAAATTTGTTGGAGGTCCTTAAAGCCTTGAGTTGTAGATTTGCATGGATTTTCATCTTGGAAAAGATGCATCAAGAATTTGAAGTAGTTTCTTTGCTTAGGCATTGCCATTATCTTATTGTAGGTAACCAGTAGGAGGATAAATTTTATAGTTGATAACAATGAGACTAGCCCTCCTTTGGATGGTTCGAATTTCAATTCTGCAGTTTGGGACCAAGGAAAGGATCGCAGCTGGTTGATGTCATCTCTTCATCAAGTTTATAGCCGAAGGTGAATCCATTTTATGTTTTTCTTTTCTTGATTTAGGACTGAGTTATCTATTCCTATAAATAGAGATTAATATTTAGTCTTTAACTTCAATTAAGTATCAATAATATTCAAGGTTCTTACTATTTTCTCTCTTTTTATCTCAAATCTCATAACTTCAAAAAGCTCATTTATTAAATGACGTTAATTTTGACATATTTCAATGAAATATAAAATGATTTCAGATATACCTAAAAATTTACAGAAATGATCTATATGATATGAATTTTCAATCAAATGTCAGGTTTAGTAATATGTATCGAATAAAAATTTATTGAGAGGAGTAACACTACCAAGTATTACATTTGTATAATTTGATCCCTATTACATTAGTTATAATATTCACTTGATGTGTAATAGAGAAACATGGATTCCCCATTAGCTTTCTCATTTTCCTCTTTCTTAAAGCGGTATCAAAGCCTAATTAGAGGAAATCCTTATCCATGCTTCTCAATTAGACCCATAGTCTATTAATGCAATTGTGTTTCTTTTTTATAAACAATGTTTCTCATCTAATATCCACTCTCTACCACTATGGTCCAGTTTCTCTCACGTGTCCTTTTCCATCTCTGTCCTCTCCTCTTCCGTTTGCCACCATTAGTAATTATTTATTGCGAGAGAACCATCATTCAAAGCTCTGCTACCTTTTTTTTAAAACAAAAATGACATGTAGAGACATCACACATCTATGCATCAATTCCCAGTAAAAAGTTGTTTCATCATCAAATCCACTAGTAGTCCAGTTGAGTAGTTTAGAATGATTAACTTGTATTTCACAATGAGGTTGTGCAAATATATACACAAAAGAGAATAATCAACACTCCCTCTCAAGCTGGAGCATATACATCATATGCTTCCAGCTTGTTACATGTGTAATCAACCGGAGGTCTCCGTGATGGGGAGATAATCAATGGTAAGTGTTAGAACCCTTGAGGATGTTGTAGCCAGGATACTACTTGGGGGGGATGAGTCTATTAAGGTCAATTTCCAAAATTCAGCCTTGAGGACAAGGCTGTGCTCTCAAAGGAGGGCAATATCAGAGGCCGTGAGGATGGTTTTACTGCAGAAACTAGTAGTGTTGTTGTAACATATGGGCCAATGTATCATATGTCAAAAGTATGGAGAGTCTACTCTAGGAAACATTGTTTATGACCACTGTTATTTGTACCAGTTTTTCAGTTCTGGGAATTCTAACAGTTTCTCTCTCTCTAGAAGTTGCTTCTGCACATATGCTTAGCTTCTTTAGGTTTTCTGCTTGCTAGTTTTTGTTATTTTGCTTATAGGTATGCTATTTGTTTCGTACCATTTATATCATGAAATGCAAGAATTAACAAGTGTAAGGCTTTAAAAAGCAACATTCACTAAACCGCTATTTGGCGGAAAACAAGTATGATATTGATGGAATCAAGCAATCATATTCTTTTGTGGATTTTCTTGCGGTTATCATTAAAAATAATGAACATTTTCCTTGTGCTTATTGTCCATACTGTATATTTGAAAAAAAATTAAAATGGTTTCTGTTGTTTGTCAGTAATGGGTTCCTGTTGCAGATATCTTCTTAGAAGAAGTGCACTGGAGCTATTTATGGTGGACCGTTTGAACTTCTTCTTTGACTTTGGGGTATTAGTTTTTAATTTTTCTACTATAATTGTTTTAGTATCGAGGAATAAGTTTGGATTTGAAATTGTATAATTCTGAAAATTTTACCAATGATTGTTAAGTTTTGCAAACATAAATTCTAATACTTATTTCCTTTACTAAAACTCCTCATCAGAGTAGTGAAGGGCGGAGAAATGCATATCGAGCAATCGTTCATGCACGGCCTCCTCATTTAAACAATATATATTTAGCAACACAGGTATTATCTTTTCACAGAATTTTAAATTTATCTTCATTTGCACATAGAATAACAAAAGTTTATTTCTTTAGAAACCTGAACAACTTTTAAAAAGAACTCAGCTTATGGAGAGGTGGGCTAGGTGGGAGGTAAGAAGTGTGCCTCAACTCTTCAAACAATATTATTTTATGTTTGGATTGTTTAACTATATGTTTAGTTCAAACCATAAAAGTTTTTAATAATGTTTTCTCATTAAAATACAACTTTTTCCCCATGAAAGCTACACAGTACACACATTAGAAATATTGTTTTATATTATTTAAATTTTTTTTCAAACATAATTTGTTTTACCTCAGCCAAACAACATTTTCATTCATTCCATATCTCATTTGATAATTTAATGCATAATTTGATTCTTAATACAATCATAAACTATATCTTTAAAGTGATACTGAGTCAACATTTCTAACATAATCTAGTTTTCATAATTCATCATCTTGAAAGTGTTTTTAACATGATATTTTCTAGCAACTAGCCAATCAGACACTAAGTTTCTAATATAATTTAAACACTTGTGGCTTATGTATATAGATTTTATGATGCCGTTGTGCAGATCAGTAATTTTGAGTATTTAATGCAACTCAATACACTGGCTGGGCGTAGTTATAATGATATAACACAGGTAGTCTTTCTTCTTAATTTGTTGCTTTCTATCATTAAAATTAAACTCTTCAATCCTATATATATATATATATATATATATATATATATATATATATATATATATATATATATATATATATATATATATATATATATATATATATATATATATATATATATATATATATATATATATATATATATATATATATATATATATATATATATATATATATATATATATATATATATATATATATATATATTTATTTATTTATTTATTTATTTATTTATTTATTTTTTGCAGTATCCAGTTTTCCCTTGGATTCTTTCTGATTACACTTCAGAGAGCTTGGATCTTTCTAACCCTTCTTCGTACCGGGATCTTTCAAAGGTTATCATGAATGTTGCTTCAATCAATTCATAGGAAAATAGTTGTATGTTCTTCAAATAATTAATGCTTTTGATACCGTGCAGCCGGTTGGTGCATTAAGCCCAGATCGTCTGAAAACGTTTCAAGAGAGATACACTAGCTTTGATGATCCTATCATCCCCAAATTCCATTATGGGTCACACTACTCAAGTGCAGGAACAGTGGGTTTGCCCTCTTTTTTCTTGCCTTTTTTTTTCAAAAAAATAACTTGGATTTTTCTTTATTATAGTACTTCATTATCATTCAAGACAATTTTGCACGAGGACTAATGATGTTGAGTGTTGCTTTTTTGTTTTACTTCATCAATTTATTTATCAAATCAATGCTCTCTAGGAAGGCTTGATTTGTATGTAGCTTTTTCTTGATTTTTTCTTTAGTATAGTAGTTCGTTAGCATTCTAGACAATAATGCATGGGGACTTGTGATATTTAGTGTTTTCTTTTTTATTTATCAGATCAGTGTTCTCCAAAAGGTTTGATTTGTATGAAGCTTTTTCTTGAGTGGTTAACTTAGAGTTGACGCAACCATGTGGGCAATGTACTTGTTATGGCAAGTGATGGAGTACTATCAGAGGGATAAAAAAGATCTTAACACGGTCTTAAGTGATTTGGAGATGTATGATTGAGTGTCAAGAGAGATTTTGTAGAAATCCATCGAAAATAAAGAGATTTAGATTGTCTATTTTCGAGATATCAAGGATTTGTATGAGGGGGCTGCGACTAATGCAATTTTCCTTTGTGTTGGATGTACTTTAGAGCACATTCAAGAATCGGTACCGTGATGCATGCTTTTTGTAGGTCATACATATCAACTGGGAGAGATGAGAGTGGAAATAAATCCAGGGTTAGAGACTTGGAGGCAAGTTTTAGAGAGGAAATGTAGCTTAGATTTCTTTTGACTATAATTAAGATCATATATGAAATGTAAGCGTAGAAAAAAGAGAAGCACACCTAGTTTAGAGGTGAAAGTCAATACTCTATCAATAATCTCCGGCAGCCCCTTCATCTAACCCAAGTCAAGGTTGAGTCGTTGGCACCAGTCACAAATGACATGTCCCACTTAAGTTAATTTTTTTTATAGTCTTGTTGTCCAACTATCACCACTGTTGATTTACCGGTACCGATCACACATTTAAATTGGTTGTTTCAAGTAAAGGAATCATCTGACCCAATATCATAGTAACTTTGTTTCGATGCAGTTCTTGAAAGTTCATTGTGGCTCTACTATTGTTTTGGTTTGGTTTGATATTTTCTTTTAAAAGGTGACTTGGAACACCTTAAAGTTTAGTAGGCTTTATCTTGAGCGGGAATGTTAAGATATGTATTCGAATTAAATTATAGTTTGTTGAATAAATATCTACAATTTTTTTAAACAAAAAAAGTTAAAGTGATGCAAAAGATGAAGGCACCTACATCCTAATAAGTTGGCGCCCCTGCACCCACATTCAAACTGGTCAACTCTAATGAAATATTATTACAATAAAAAAGAAAAAGCTTGGGGGACTAGGTCAAATTCCAAAGTAAAGAAATAAATAATCCGTATTTCTTTGATATTGTAATAAGTAATACATGAAAGGTATTTATAGAAATACAAGGGACAAATCACTTTAAATGTTAATTCTAAATGCTAATTCTAAATATGGTAGAAGACAACTAATTACTAATTATTAATAACTAATTACTAATTATTATTTACAATGAATATTATGTTGAGCTGTATAACACATAATCTGTTGATTCTGTACTTATCTCTCTAATAACTTCAACACTCCCCCTCAAGTTGGGGAATGGATATCTATCATCCCCAGCTTGCAAGTAAGATCTCGAAACCGCTCCAAGAAAAGTCCTTTGGTGAGCACATCAGCTAACTGAAGTCCTAATGGGACGTATTGTGTAGAAATAAGGCCATTATCCAATTTCTCTTTGATGAAGTGTCGGTCTATCTCTATATGTTTTGTTCTGCCGTGTTGGACCGGATTGTGAGCAATACTAATGGCAAACTTATTATCGCAGAAAAGTCTCATAGGAGCTTCATACTTTATTTTCAAGTCGTCTAGAATGATCTTCATCTACAACAGTTCACAAACTCCTTGAGCTATGACTCTAAACTCTGCATCTGTATTTGATCTGGCAACTACATTTTGTTTCTTGCTCCTCCATGTCACTAAATTTCCACCTAGGAACATACAATATCTAGTGGTGGATCTTCTGTCAACAATCGACCCTGCATAATCCGCATCAGTATAAACCTCCATAGACAACTATTCACTTTTCTTGAACAATAGTCCTCTTCCTGGGCTCATCTTTAGATACTGCAAGATTTTATCCACTGCCTGTAAGTGCCTCTCCGGTGGGTCATACATGAATTGACTAACAACACTAACCGGATAAGCTATGTCAGGCCTGGCGTGAGATAGATAAATAAGCTTTCCCACAAGTCTCTGGTATTGAGCTTTGTCAACCCTTGGGCTTTCCTCATCACTCCCAATCTTGTGGTTTTGCTCTATAGGCACTCTGAAGGGAATACAACCCAACTTGTCAGTCTCTTTGAGAAGGTCAAGGACATACTTTCTCTGAGAAATGAAAATGCCTTGTTTTGAGTATGCTACCTCCATACCTAGGAAATATTTCAACTTTTCAAGATCCTTCATTTCAAACTGAGCTGCCAACTCCTTCCTCAAGTTCTTCTTCTCAAATTCATCATTACCTGCTATGATCATATCGTTTACGTAGACTAACAAAAGAGTGAGTTTACCATTTTGAGCATGCTTTATAAAGAGAGTATGATCACCTTGGCTTTGTTTATAACCTAAGGACACCATAACATGAGTGAGCCTCCCAAACCAAGTCCGGGGTGATTGCTTGAGCTCATATATGGCCTTCTTTAACCTGCAAACCTTATTACTTCCAGAAGTACGGTCATATCCGGATGGGATCTCCATATACACCTCTTCCTCCAAATCTCCATGCAATAAAGCATTTTTCACATCAAACTGTTGCAACTCCCAATCAAAGTGAGCTGCCAAAGAAAGAATCATTCTTACGGTGTTCATTTTTTCTATTGGAGCAAATGTCTCTTCATAATCAAGGTCTGGGTCATAATCAAGGTCTGGGTGTATCCCTTTACAACTAGCCTCGCCTTATATCTGTCGAGTGTACCGTCGGATCGGTATTTTACTGTATATATCCACCTGCAGCCTACTGGCCTCTTGTCATTTGGTTTCTCAATAATCTTCCAAGTTCCATTTTTCTCTAGTGCATGCATCTCTTCATTCATGACTTGAATGCAGTTCTTATCCTTTAATGTTTCTTGTACTGATGCAGGGACTCTAATAGAGTCAATAGCTGAAATAAAACTCTGATGGTGCACATAAAGCTTTTTAGTAGACACAAACTGGGATATAGGGTATTTGATACAAGACCTTTTTTCTTTTCTCAAAACAATAGGTAGGTCATCAAGGTTTGGCTCACAAGAATTACTAGGGTTAGGAACACTTACCTCAGCTTCAGACAATTGGACTTGTTGGGGCAGAACGGGTTTACCTTTCCACCTTTTTCGCTGAAACTGTAACTTGTATCTGTAAACATTATTATGCACCGGCATTGGTACATCACCACTATCCTCATTAGGCATCAAGGGCTCCTGTATTACAGGAATAACAGGAAAAACAAACAACTCAGGAGACGACTCTAAGTCTTGTATTAGAGGAATAACAGACAACTCAGGAGACGGCTCTGGGTCCGGTATTAGAGGAATAACAGGAAGGACAGATAACTCTGAACACTCGGCTTCTTGATTATTCTCCTCCTGAAGCTGAGCACTGGGATAAAAAGACTCAGATTCCTGAAAAGTAACATTCGTGGACATATAGACACGACGACTAGGAGGATGATAACTTGCACCCCTTCTTATCTTAAGCATATCCTATGAAGATACACTTAATAGTCCGAGGATCTAACTTACCCCCATGAGGACCATGAACATGGACAAAGGCAGAACAACCAAAGACACGATTCTGAAGACTTGACATAATGGGCACGGATAGAAAGAATCGAGTCAGGACCTGCACAAGACTAACACCAGATAACACCCTAGAAGGTAACCTATTGATTAAATAAGCAGAGGTCAAGACAACTTCCCCCCAATAAAATTTAGGAACATTCATTTGAAAGTGTAATGCTCGGGTGATTTCAAGAAGATGACGATTTTTCCTTTCAGCAATCCTATTTTGTTGTGGAGTGTCAACACAAGTCAACTCATGAACAACACCATTAATTTTGAAAAAATTGTGAAAATTTTGATTTACATACTCTTTACTATTGTCTGACCGTAACCTTTTAATAGGTTTCCCAAACTGTGTTTTAACCATTTAAAAAAAGTTAACAAACAATTGACACACTTCAGACTTATCTTTCATAAGAAAAACCCATGTAACCCGAGTACAATCATCAATAAAAATAACATACCATTTTGCACCAGAAATATTGGAAATGGATGAAGGCCTCCATACATCAGAATGAACAAGATCAAAGGGTTCGACACTCCTTGTATCACTAAGGGAATAGGTTGCTCGATGGAATTTGACAAACTGACACACATCACAATGAAAGGAATCAACAGACACTTTGATAAATAGGTGAGGGAATAGAGACTTGAGCATGTGGAAAGGAGGATCTCCAAGACGCCTGTGTTGGAGCCATATTTGAGTATTTGCCCATGACTCTGAACCAGCCTGATGACACTTGCTTTCCTTATGAGGCAGATAATGTAATTCGTTCTGTTCCTCAACAATTCCAATCGTTTTCCCTGTGGCAAGGTCTTGAAAAACACAATGAGAATGAAAAAAAGGTTACAACACAATTCAAGTCTTTAGTGAGTTTATGGATGGACAAAAGATTGTTAGAAAGCTTAGGGACATGAAGCACATGATTTAGGTGGAGAGATGGGCTTAGGCGGATGTTACCAAATCCGACAATCGGGGTTTGGGATCCATTTGCAACGGTAATATGGCGTTTATTAGGTAAAGGTGAATAAGAAGAGAGATATGACATATATGGGGTCATGTGATCAGTTGCACCGGAGTCAATAATCCATATATCTTTAGAACAAGAGGCATTAAAAGCTAAGAAGCTAGAGTTCTTACCAGTCGTGGTCAGAGAACTAGTGTTAGAGAACTTACTTAAGGAGTCCATAAAGAGAAACAAACCGTCTCGAGCCAGGAGAGTTGAGATCTACTGTTAGGAGAGGATCGAAGGGTTGCCAATGAGAAACTCCAACAAAGATGACAACCAAACAATCAAGGGTTGCAAACAGCAAGAAACAGTGATACAACAATGAAGGCTGTCCTGAAAACAACAATGAAGGTGAAATCGTCTGGATCTGCAATGACGGTTAAGTGGTGCACGACGGCTGCAAAGTCATCGAGATCACTAGGGTTCCAAGAGAAAGGGAACCTTGACCAAGAAAAAAGGGCCGTAATAAGAACGACTAGTGTTTTGAGCGCGGAAGCAGAGCCCCTAGAATCGGGTGCTCTGATACCATAAAGAAACAAACAATTTGTATTTCTTTGATATTGTAGTAAGTAATACATGAAAGGTATTTATAAAATACAAGGGACAAATCACTTTAAATGCTAATTCTAAATATGGTAGAAGACAACTAATTACTAATTATTAATAGCTAATTACTAATTATTATTTACAATGAATATTATGCTGAGTTGTATAACACAAAGTCTGTTGATTATGTACTTATCTCTCTAATAACTTCAACACAAAGTAACAACAATGCAAATCAAAATGATTGGCCAACTGTCTCATTAAAAACTTTATCAAGGAAAAATCAGTGGGTTAAAATCTTGATAAAGAGAAAAAGAGTGCAGTTTAATAAATCATATATGATTGGTCAACTGCCTCTATGATTAGGTTAGTTGTTATCTTAGGTTAGTTGACATATCAAAACCCAAAAAATTGAGAAACCACACACATATCTTTGAGAATCTCTAAACAGTTAAGCCATCTTATCTAGTAATGAGATTCTATGGAACAATTGCATTGCTCTTGAATGCCAAATTTACGAGTTAAGAATCAATTTCTAATCAAAGAAGCTTCCGACCTTTCTTATAAGTCAGTTCAATATCTAGGATGACACTAACCAACTCTGCAAGAAGTGATGTTGAAATGCCATTATAAGATGCAAAGTAGTCTAAAGCCTCAACATTACTATTTTTGAAAATTCCACCACAAGCTGCATGTCGTGGGCTCCCTCTTGGGGAGGATGCCAATTAACCTGAATGATCTGAGGAGCTCTAATACAATTAACCTGAATGATCTGAGGAGCTCTAATAGGATGACGTTCAATCATGAAAGGCATGAGGATCAGAAAGTCATGAATTGAAGTAGTGTCCCTAGTCTGATTGCCAATTAGGAAAACATTGGCAATAGTCATATTGATAGCTTGCTGGTCAGGAAAGATTTTGTTGTCAAACCTCCACCTATTTTTGCCAAACTAAATATTAAAAATGCACAAAATAACAGCTAAAATGATAGTTTTATACTGCTTGGAGAAAGGCAAGGACCATATACAGAAGAGTCAAAGAAGAGCTTCTACCAATCTGTAGATAAGTGATTTGACTAAATCAATCCCAAATTTGAGAGGGGAAAACACATATGTTGAGGTTATATATTGTTCGATGTGAGATTCTTAATAATAATTATAACTGTTAAGAGTCCCACATCGGACAATATATGGTCTGAACATGAGTTTATAAGTGAGAGTAATCCTCACCTTATAAGTCGGTTTTGTAGGGTTGAGTTAGGCCCAACCCACACATTCTAAGATAGTATCAGAGCGTCATCTAAGATCCATTGGACCACCCACCATTTAGTTCCACGCTCCAGCCCCAACTCACACATTCTAACACTCTAAGAATAACCATATTTTAAATTATATATTTTCTCTCCTCTTTTTATCTCAAACACCATAAATTCAACTATCTATTACAACGTGTGATATTTTTATGTTTTTCTAAAGTAGCAAAAGAAGCATGCTACATGTGTAAATGTTGTCATATAACATGTTTGTGTTTATGTTGCTGATTTTGGCATAGTTAATGGTTATTATCCTCTTTTACAGGTATTGTATTATCTTGTTAGGGTTGAGCCATTCACTACCCTATCAATCAAACTACAAGGTGGAAAATTTGATCATGCAGATCGGATGTTTTCTGACATTTCTGCTACTTGGAATGGAGTTCTTGAAGACATGAGTGATGTTAAGGAATTGGTATTTTTTTTATCTTTTTCAACTAAATGATTGATTAATACTTAAAATACCTAGTAGGTACTCTTGAGATAATAGAAATGAATAGACATGGAAATATTTGTGTTTAAATCAACAGAGGAACTATAATAAAGAATACAAATAAAAATAACAATATATACCTATGTTGTTAATATTGGATAGCAGCATGGAGCACCAGACTGAAAACTGCTTAAGCAACATAAAGAGGGTGAAAACATGTTGCTTAAGCAGTTGTTGGAATCATTTGGGACATAGTATTATTCGGGGCTAAAAACATGTTGGAATTTTCGCCATTATTGCGGTCCGCCCCTAATCGCCTTAATTGCGGCACTTTGACTTTCCTTAATTACAGCCCCAACACCTTCATTGTGTTGGGTTTGGACGGGTGGATTTAGTCCCACGTCGCTTAAAGATATGGCCTGTTGTGTTTATAAGTGGGGGGCAGTCCTCACCCTACAAGTCGGTTTTGTAGGGATGAGTTAGGTTCAACCCAAATTCTAAGAAGGTATCAAAGTCTATCCTAGATCCATTGTTGGGATTTCCGCATCGTCCACACTTCGGGCCTATTGAGACCCAAGAGCGAGAGTGTGTGTTGGAATTTCCGTCTTAATTGCGGTCTGTCCCTAGTCGCCTTTAATTGCGGCACATTGACTTGCCTTAATTGCAGCCTCCAACACCTTCATTGTGTTGGGTTTGAAGGGGTGGATTTAGTCCCACATTATTTAGAGATATGACTTGTGTTGTGTTTATAAGTGGGAGCAATCTTCCTCACCCTACAAGCCGGTTTTGTAGGGATGAATTAGGCTCAACCCAAATTCTAAGACATGTCATCCTTACATGTCTTTATATTGCCTCATCTCACCCTATTCAGGATGAGGATCTTACTGGAAAATTGCATGGCAGCAGAAAGCGGTAGTGATGGTCGAAAATGACTAATCTAGCCAGATGGATGGGACAGCAGCAGAGATTGGAAACTAGACATTGAACAGTTTTTTTGAAATAAAGGTCTTACATGGTGGGCAGTGGGTCAATCAGATACTAATGATTAGAGTTGCCTTTTGTCAGGCTCTAGATGCCAAAATGAGAGAATAGAGTGAGAGACGTGGATTAATCTGTGCAAACTACATATCAGAGGTATATTACAAAGATGACTAAAAACAATACAAAGCTCTAGATGCCAAAATGAGACAATAGAGTGAGAGACGTGGATAAATCTGTGCAAACTACATATCAGAGGTATATTACAAAGATGACTAAGAACAATACAAAGCTTTACAATCATCTTAATTACTCTAATTACATAGTACTATACAATGCCTAGTTAACCTATTTACAATATTTCTAATAGATACTTCCGTGTCTTTTTAGAAGTTTAAGCATTAATTGGCTTGGAATTTTTTTATAACTTATATCTCAAATAATTATCAGTCTTATTGAAACATCTTAAGTTTCTTTTTCCCTTTTCAATCTCAACTTATTAGGTTCCAGAGTTATTTTATCTCCCTGAGGTCCTCACAAATGAAAACTCAATTGATTTTGGGACAACACAGTTGGGAGAAAAGCTTGGTATGCTCATTAAGGTTTTCATCAAATAGTTATTTCAGAAGACATTGTTTTATATTCACATGCATATTGTAACTCTTGTTTGTCATTTATTTCTACATTACCAGATACTGTAAGACTTCCTGCTTGGGCTGAGAATCCAGTTGATTTTGTGCATAAGCATAGGATGGCTCTGGAAAGTGAGTATGTGTCTGCTCATTTGCATGAGTGGATTGACCTCATATTTGGGTAGGGTTTCTTTTTTCATACTTTTCAGTTTCTCCCATTGCTTTTGGATTGACATCATGATTTTCTTTTTTCATAAGTTTGTACTATTAATATAGAGATGTATGACATTCCTCTTCAAAATTTCACTATTATTGTTCCATAACAATTATATTAATGACTTGGATCATACAGGTATAAGCAACAGGGCATAGAGGCTATTGCAGCAAATAATGTTTTCTTTTATATTACTTATGAAGGGACAGTGGATATTGATAAAATTTCAGACCCGGTATGTATCCTTTTCTTCATATTTTTAAGTTAGTTGGTTGTTTGATTAACACACAATCTCAACTCCCAAAATATATAGAGAATAGATAAGAATATTCCACATGAGTTATGAGAATTCATTTCTTCGGCTAAAAAATTGAAGTATTTGCTAATTATAGTATTATGTACCATACTTTATGGGTGAGGAAAGAAAATGAGAGTTTCTGAGAGGATCCATGTTTTTACACAACATATATGGGTGTCATCTTAGGCCCCATTGTTTAAACATTCATTGTATCGGAGTAATCACAGATATGTTTAATGTCTAATACAAAATTATAAATTAGGCCCCATTAGTACATATTAAGATTTTTAAACACAGGAGTGCTTTTACCAGAAAATATGATCCCTAAATTTGTCAATATAACTTGGCATCAGTGCAAGTTGCAAAAATCTGAGACAGGTGCAGAAAAGATGAGATAAAAAAAACTTTCTTTTTTGGTGAGAGGAAAAAGTGTCACTCTTTATAACTATTTTCAAGTCATATGTGAGACTTGGGTTTTTCCGATAGAGTGTCTCATGCCAAACACAATTGCGCTTGGTGTGTGGTTAAAATGATCGGTGGTCCAAATTGTTTGGCTTTTCTACAATATTAGGTTTAAAGTTGGACCTAACCCATCTTTACAAAGCCCACTTGTAAGGTGATAGGTGTCATTCTTTATAAAAAAATCAGGCTTTATCTCTTTTCAATGTGGTATTTGATTTTTTTATTCCAAGAGCTGAACTAAATTATTCTAGAATCTCAATTGAGAAACTAGACAGTTTAATCTATTTTAAGTTGGGATTCTAATTTATTCTGATCAATACTCCCATTTATATTCATAAACTTGCTTTAGGACAGAATTGTTTTCCAGTAGGGATTGCTCTGGTGTCAACATGTGAATGCTTTGAGGGAGTCATCTTGGTAGACACGGGGATTGAACAAATTCTCTTCTGAATGTTTATTTGCCTTGTGTATTTTTTTTTCTTCAAGTAGGCCAAAATTAACTGATCATCCCTTGCTAGACCGGTAGCTTTTCTGGGGGTGTTTTGTGGTGTGTGATATATTACTCTACATCTTACCTTTTCTGCAACTTCTTAATTTCTTTCATGTGTGACAAGTAAAGGCACAACAGCGGGCTACACAAGATCAGATTGCTTATTTTGGACAAACACCATCTCAACTTCTGAAAGTTCCTCACTTAAAGAAGATGCCTGTAACTGAAGTTCTGCATTTGCAGGTAATTATTGGCTGGATCAGTTTGACACAAACATCTAACTATGCTTCCTCTTAGAATGTGTGATTGGGTCTAACTCGACCCTACAAAACCGGCTTGTAGGGTGAAGATTGCCCTCACTTATAAGCACATGTTCAGGCCATATATTGTCCGATGTGGGACTCTTAACACCCACTCTCACGCCCAGGATGAACGTCTGGAGCGTGGAACTAAATGGTGGGTGGCCTGATAACGGAGTGGTCCAACGGATTTTAAACCGGGCTCTGATACCATCTTAGAATGTGTGATTGGGCCTAACTCAACCCTACAAAACCGGCTTGTAGGGTGAGGATTGCCCTCACTTATAAGCACATGTTTAGGCCATATATTATCCGATGTGAGACTCTTAACACTTCCCTTGCCTGCTTCTTATTCTCGTGTTTTTGCATAATCAAGCTTCAGCCTTTTGAAAAATCTTCATTTGTTTTACTTTTGTAGCATTGCAAACCATGATCTTGTTTGAAAACATACGATTTCCAAAAAGCAGAAAATTGACGATGTAACTTCGATGGATGAAAAAAGGGTTTACCCTAACATTGAATGTGTTTGTGCGTATGAAATATTATGTTTCAAAATTGAATGTGTTTGGAGTGTATAGCGTTATTTAAGGACAATTTGTTTTGGCAATATAATGGTATCTATTTGGGTATATAATGGTATCTAGTTCAGATGGTAAAGTCTACTTCAGTTTTGTAAGGATTGGGTGTTGGGATGAAATTCCACTTTCACTCCTCTATAGATAAAAGGTTTCTCTTTATGTTTCAAGATTTGTCCAAAACATTTGTGCTGATGAAGTGTATTTGAAATGCCCTTCTATGTTTCCTAGACTTTTGATGATGAGTGCATGTGATCTGATAATAATAATTATGCATATATTTCTTTGCATGTCAAGACAATATTCCGCAACCCAAAAGTAATCCAACCATATGTTGTTCCATCTCCTGAAATCTGCAACCTACCTGCGGCTGCCATTCAAGCGTCTTCAGATATGATAGTGGTTGTTGATTGGAGTGCACCAGCAGCTCATGTTGCAAAACACAAGTGGCAACCCAATACACCTGATGGCCATGGTACTCCATTCCTCTTTCAACATGGAAAAGCTGCAACCGGCTCTGGTAGCGGAACACTAAGACGCATGTTCAAAGGGCCTTCAGGGTCTGGTGAAGAGTGGCAATATCCTCAAGCATTGGCATTTGGTGTTTCCGGTATTAGAAGCCAAGCTATCATCTCAATAACTTGTGACCAAGAAATTATTACTGGTAAATCTAGACAGCCTGGGATTTTTCAGATATGCTTCCTATAGTATTATTTTGAGAAATGATCTCTTATCAAATTATTTAACATAAAGTTAGTAACTGAGTGACTAATGGCTTGCAACAAGAGATAATTAGATCACACACCATTTATCAATTTTAAGGATTATGTTTCTCAAAGCGATGAATGTGTGGGGATTTCTTAATGTTAAACAGTACCTGTGTGGCATTATCTTTTGCGTTTTTTCTAGTATAATACTAGAAAAGGAAGAAAATTATATGTAACATCACATCTTTACAGCTACATCCTTTTATATATAAAAAATTATATTTAAACAGTTCCAACCTCTGAGTATATGCAGGATGTTAGAATTAAATAAAACTGTAGATATTCTAGATTGATTGTTAGTATTCATTGAGGATACAGCTTCCTAGTATAGTGCTTATTCATTAGACATTCACTGTATTTATTGTAATACCATTATAAATACAAGGAGTGTGATCTAAGGATAGTCACACAGAATTTACCTTTACACAGGAAAATACCTATTGAAGCAGTGGCAAAAACAAATCGAGCACTTATTGCAGCATCCTGTATATTAATTTTAGCCACATCTTTAAATAGATACTTCAACTACGCAGCGATTTTGGCAAAGTCCATTTTTTGTTTGTGAATGGTACTTTCTAATTCTACTGGGAACTCGCTAGGTATTTTGTTTCTAACCTGAAAATTTGACTTTTGATTAGGTGGGCATGCTGATAATAGTATTAGGGTGATATCTTCTGATGGAGCCAAAACCTTGGAAACAGCCAATGCGCACTGTGCTCCAGTAACTTGCCTTGGCCTTTCATCTGATAGTAAGTACCTGGTGTCAGGATCCCGAGATACAACAATATTACTCTGGAGAATACATAAATCACTTGCATCTCACTCAAGTGGCATATCTGAATCTCCGTCATCCAGCAGTAACTCTTCATCTCATTTTATAGAAAAGAATCGTAGACATCGTCATATTGAGGGTCCATTACAGGTACTTCAGGGGCACCAAAGTGAAATACTCAGTTGTTGTGTTTGCTCAGATCTTGGAATAGTGGTTTCTTGCTCCGACACATCAGATGTTCTTGTGCACTCTATAAGAACGGGGCGTTTAGTTCGAAGGCTGGATGGTGTGGTAGCCCATACTGTTTGCCTTTCCTCTGAAGGGATTATCATGACTTGGAATGAGTTGCAGCAAGCTCTCAGTACCTTTACTCTTAATGGTGTTCTAATTGCTAAAACAGAATTATCTTTCTCTACCAGCATTAGTTGCATGGAAATTTCTCATGATGGGAAGAATGCTTTGATTGGAATCAATGGTGGGGCTGATGGTGGGAATTTGCAGTCAAGTAAGTCAACTGCTGTTGGTTTTCATTCAGAACAAGAAGATACTCAGGAAAGCAACAGCATAAATGTTCCAACACCAGCAATTTGCTTCCTGGATTTGCACACTCTGGAGGTACAATATAAAGATGTTTAAAATTATATGCCAAAAATAAATCAGACCTTTAGATCAAGAACCAGTCTTTCTTTTCTATTTTTTGGTTGAGTCGTCATAGGAAACATCTATAAATTTGAGTTTACAAATGAAATAGCCGACTTCAAAAAAGTAATGTACAGCTTTTTCATCAAAGTTAGATATTTTCTGCATATTCATCATTTCACTCCCATTCAGAAAACATTCTTTCTATGAACCAAAAACTAAAGTGTGTGTAGCATCTTATTTAGAAGGTGAGCCTCAGACCAAAAGAAAGGTTGTCTGCTGACTTGTGACTTGTAGGTCACGGAAATCCTAAAAACAACCTCCCTTTCTGGTGAGAGACTCCTGCAATAGGCCTCCGTTTTCTGGAAGCCGGCATAATCTAGCAATTTTTTTGAGCAGGAGAAGGGGTTTTGCATTCTGCATCTTGTAAACCTCTAGAATTCAGAGTCACTTTATTAGCTAACTACTCTACCATACTATTTTCTGTAGGTTTTCCATGTATTGAAACTGAAAAAAGGACAAGATATTACAGCTCTTGCTCTAAATAAGGATAACACAAATCTTTTGGTTTCAACTTCAGATAAAAAATTGATTATCTTCACTGATCCAGCTGTAAGTTAAATTACTGTTGATAAAGATCCTTGTCAATACCAATTGTAGCTTACGTTGAATCACTGTTTTTCTATATTCACAGCTTGCCCTCAGAATGAGTATTCCATGATTATTCGTGCAATCAAACATAATAATATTCACTGTTTTAATACATATATTTTGTTAAATCTTACTTGAAATACCATGATTATTCCTCCAATCCACCATAATAACAATACTAACAGTACATTCAGTACATATTTTATGAAATCTTACTCTATATACCATGGATTTAACTCTTTAGCTTATTGCTTGCAGTTAAGCTTGAAAGTGGTGGATCAAATGCTTAAACTTGGTTGGTAAGGGGATGGACTTAGACACCTCATAAAGTCAGCTTTTGGGGTATCTAAAAGTGATATACAGGTCTTTTATACATAATAACAACTAGGAATGTCCTAATGGGGGTGTAGCTCTCCTGTTTGTAACCAATTTTGTTGTGTTCCTATGGTTCAGAAATGTTTTGTAACATATGTAACAACTAACTCTTACCACAACAACATTTGACTTAGATATAGCTTTAGTATAAGGTTAGTCTGCTCTCCCAGTTGTGCTTAAGTGTAAATATTTACAAGCTTCTATCTGAGGTTTGGGCCAATAATTTTTTCAATCCAGATTTTTGTTATTACCAGTGAATTGAAAGCAGTGTTAAATAGTTTTTCTCTCTTCATTTTTTATGTTAAGATTTAGAAGATTTTGGTTAACAGATCAGTTATCGATATGATAAGGTTGAAGACCTTGAGAAATATGAGGATGATATGAATATTATTGAAGATGCTGTGAAAGTTGAAAAAACAATATTCTTAATCCACCATCATCATTGTATTTGTGGCGTGGTGATTATAGTGGACTATGACCTAATTTTGTAATTTTTGTGATTTTAATCCCATATCCCATTAATAATTTAGATTAGTATTTTTGTTTTTTCAATTAGTAATATTAAATACATTTTTTACATAATTAAATCTAATATACAGAAATTTTAATGACATATATGATATATTAATTCAAATCAATAATGACACCAAAAATCATTATAGTTCCATGTCATTAATGAAGTAGCCCCATCAACAAAATAACTCTTAATATGAAGGAACCAAAATATTACAAAAAGACCAAAAACCTAGTTTTAAAAATATTAGGACTTATTACTAACTTTGCTCCTTCATTGGTGACCTCCACCTTAAGCAACTTTTTACTTTGGTATGATATTTAGTGATTTGATAGATCTTAAAGATGCAAAATATATTAGGACTTATTACTAACTTTGCTCCTTCATTGGTGACCTCCACATTAAGCAACTTTTTTACTTTGGTATGATATTTAGTGATTTGATAGATCTTAAAGATGCAAAATATATTATATTTTGTTCATTATTATTATATGTATTAGGGAGTCACACTTTAATTTTGCTATGTTAAAGTTTTGAGCACAAATCCTTACAAAATGATACCTTTAATGTTTGATGAATATAGTCACCTATCACCGTATAAACAAGCACATTTTATTGAACAATTTCCTTTCTAATCCCTGTGTAATGCTTTGATTTCAAGACCTCCATCAATATGAAAATTTATCATTGTCTTATAAGTCACATTTTTTTTCTCATCATTCAATTTGAAACGAAAACAACCTAATAAAACAGCTGAGAATATCTTCATCTGTCTATAAGCAAACTCTTTTCCTAGGCATATCCGAGGACCTGCCTGCATTTGAAAGAAAATCCATATATAAGTTTAGTAGCACCGACATCTTTCAATTTATTTATTTTTTAAAATTATTAGTCGTACGTGCACTTCATAGTATATAAGTATACTTTTACAAAGGAACAAGTCTTGGCATATTTAAACAAGTTTGAATAAATGTTACATTTCCATTGTAAAACTCTACTAACCTGAAAAGCAGTGAACTTGAAAGGGCTTTCTGGCTGAAAAACTCCATTCTCATCAAGCCATCTTTCTGGTCTAAACTCCTCGGCATCATCACCCCATATGAATTTCATCCTCCCCATTGCATAAGGTTGGTAACACACCATGTCTCCTTTTTTTACACTATATCCATCTGGTAATGTATCATCAGAAAAACAAATCTTTGCATCCTGCACCATGAAAATAATCTTGATAATCACATTCATACATTAAGCCAAGTCTTATTCAAAATTGATCATACCACAGGAACTGCAGGATAAAGTCTGAGAGTTTCTGTGAGTGCTGCATAGAGATAATTCATCTTTTCAATAGCTTCATCTGTTACCCTTGAAACAAACTCAGTGTAGCTACTAATTGTTTTTGTGTTTGTCGCTTCTCTCACTTCTTCTGCAACCTTTTCTTGTACTGTAGGATACTTGCATAGCATGTAAACGAACCAAGAAAGCGTAGCGGCCGTCGTGTCTTTCCCCGCAATAACAAAGTTTATAATTATATCTCTCAAGTATGTTGTATCATATTCCTTCACTTGCAGAAACCTCGAGAGAATATCTCCACTTTTTCTCTATGTAGAACATGCAAAAGTGAAAAATACATTGTTCATGATAAATACCAATGAAGCATTGAAAGTTACTAGAAATCTATGTGTATTGAATCAAAATTTTCATAGTTCTTGCAAATAGTAGGCTTACAATAGAATCACCCTTTGAATTCTTCATTTGGTGAATTCTGATGTTGATTAGCTTAATGACAAATTCATTTAAGATTTGAGTGTTTTTCTTTAATTCTGCCTCTGATCCAATATTTAGAAACTTCTTTATCTTCCAAAAGACATCAACATAACGATAAAGCGTTGACGCACTTGCAGAATCAAATGCATTGGCGAAATTCTTCCCTTCTTCATTTGTTCCACACATGCTGTCAAGTTCAGTTCCAAACGCAACTTTGAAAATTGAATCCAGTGTTGATTTCATGAAAAGATCCTAGATAAATCAATGGAGCAGGTTAACATGCTAATTAATCGGATTAAAGGAAGCAATATGATAGTATCTTACAAAGAATTTATTCACTCACTTGAATTTCTAACTTAGTATTAGAAATTGCAGCTTCAGACACAATATTTGCAACTTTTGCTGCATTCTTTCTGAATATTAAAGTACTGAAATCCCTTAACATCTTGGTGGAGAATTCATGACTTGATATCTTCCTTTGTTCGCGCCATTTCTCGCCATCGACCGTGAAAATCCCATCTCCGAGTAAATCCTTCAAATTGAGATAGTTGTACAACCCCTACGTAGAAATTTCTATCAAGTTTTGGACATATCATAACATGAAAACCATATTCCTCAGCATAAATAACCTTAGATCTAACAAATTATCAAAAACCCTAGTGCAAATTCCAATACATAAATCCATTCTACAAAGATCCAATACTTATTGAATAGTAAAAATTCATAAGAAGAATTATGACTAACCTTTCCATAATTGTCAAAGTTGGTTTTGAGTATATACTCAACATTGTTTGGTTCTGCAGTATAAACTTCATTTCTGAAAAGGTTAAGAATCCTGTATGTCTTGTATTTCCTTGCAAGATCAGTCATGTAATGATGAAGTGTGTTGAAGTTCATCAACTGATTGAATACAGTTCCAGCAACAGGATGATATTTCTTATTGTTTTTTAATAGAAATTGAAGTATTAAGAGAGTTAAAGATGCAAACAAAGCTCCAAAAAGATAAGGATTTGATAGAAAATCCATGGATGATAATGGCAATGTCATGGTTTGTGTGTTTAGGGAAGAAGATAATGTTATTGCAGAGTCAAAGATTATGTTATTTTGTAATGATTTAAAGTTACAATGAGTCAACTGTATAAATTCAACACGTCTGATAATAAATGAATGATGGTAAACTACACTATCATCAATTTATTATTTTCTTTTTTTAATAATCAACTATCAACTAAAAATAAAAATAGAATAAAATAATTCCTTAAAAAAAATATCAAATGTAAGGTTGTGGATTTGAATCAATTTCAATTTCTATGCTACTTAAAAAAATTAAAAATAAAATAAAAGACAAATTTTTGAGTACTTTTAGTTTTAATTGGCTGCACTTTTATTTAATTGATTTAAAATTTTAATTTTTTTAAAATAAACTAATATTAAAAAATATGTGGCATTGAATATCTTCGAAGGTATCGGTACATTTAAGGATATCGATAGAGGTGTTCAAAATCAAATTAACCTAATAAAAAATTGTAAATCGAATCAAACTAAATCGAAATCGTAAAAAATTGTATTTAGTTAGGTTGTGTTTGAGTTATTGTTTAATAAAATCGCATAGTTTGGTTCGGTTTACGGTTTATATTTTACAAACCGAATCAAACCGCATTATGTTACGATCTAAATTTTATTTAACTCACATCAACTAAAATTTAAATCTATTATACCTTAACTTATGATTATAAACAATTTTCTCATTCTTACATTTATGGCTACAGTTCCGGTCTTTTCAAGTCTCTCATAGCATAGTATTATTGTGCATTCTTCGCCAATTATAACTTACATCTTTTTCTCTAATCTCTACTCTTTTATATTCTTTTTTTTTTCACTTTCTCATTTTTATGCAAATATTTTCTCTTTCAATTTTGTTTTTATCGCTCATCTTCTTCTCTAATCTCTCATGTCTTATGTTCTTTCTTTTTATCTTCATTAATCTCACATCTCTTCTATTTTTTATTTCATTATAATATTTTTTTATAATGTTTTATGCTATTATTTTATGTTTATTATTTCACTTTTACCTAATCTAGTTTTTACACATTTAATGGAAAGTTGTTGTCCAAATATGATGAATTTTGTTGTTATTTGAAATAATGTATGAATGACTAAATAAAAATTATATTATCATCTATATGTATATGTATGCCTCAATAAAATATTTATAAACAACTGAACCAAATTGCATTGGTTTAATTTGGTTTGGTTCAATTTTTTTTAAAAACCCAACCGAACCAAACCAAATCACAATTTTTTCTCTCTTGCGATTCAGAAGTCTTTTATCGTCAAAAGCACTTAAACTATACTGTAAACACTCCTAGATATCTGATCAGCCTGACCAGAATGGACCGTCACAACTTACTTCGAGCAGAACTTGAGAGTGAGGTGGGGGGGAGGGTACCTGCAAGACACTCTGATGCCAAAATGAGATGCGGAATGAGCTAGCAAGCAAGAGAGTAAGAAAATGTTCAATACCTGACCCTCTCAAAAGAGAGGATATTTATAGCCCCCAGCGCTAGGAAAAGGTCTCCTCATTGGACTGGTCAAATAGGCCCAAAATGGAGACTGTCAGGTTCTACGTGAGTAATGGGAACCCACACGTGGTCCCCTACCTGGATGACTTTCTCCGTAAGATCAGGAGGATATGGATGCGGTCTTTCTGGAGCCACGAAGACTTCGCGATATTCGGAGACATTGACAGTCAGCCCTACAAGGAGGATGCTCGTGAGGCGCTTCTGCTCGTCGTGGATGCTCCCTGGCATAACTGGATTGGGCCTCTCGTTGAGTTGGGCCAAGGGTAGGCCCAGTCTAGAACAAGAGCTCCCTAAGTCGTTGCTCCTGATGAAGGAGGTATGACTTAACTCTAGCTTTTTTTTCTTTTACGAGGTGCGTTTCTCGACGAGGATATTTCATTGTGTTGACGGAGAAAGTTGTCGATTCATGGGTTTATCGAGCAGAATTAGGAATGAACTCGAGATGGGACCATTCTAGTTGCGGGGAAGGGAAACCCTGCGAGGTGTAGTCACATGGCGCGACCTTTGGGATTGTAATGATGGCCTAGGGAGTAGGGGTCATCATTAGCTGAGCGTGTAGGTGTCAGAGAGAAAGGCGGTTGTTGAGCTGCCCGACGCGACATTTCGCACTCCACGCCAGCTCTATGTATAGTGCCTTAATGCCCATTATTTACGTTTACATTCTCGCGCTCTCCACTCTTCATATCACCAATGTCGTTCCGTTTCCTTCCGTCTCCACAGAATCCACCGCACGTTCTTCTTCAACCTTCGTTGTTCTTCATCTGCTTTGTCCAAGTAAGTACTTTTTCGTGATACTCTTTGTTTTGATGATGTTTTAGTTGTAGAATTTCACGACTAGGGGGTTCTGCTCGGGGAATTCATGTATTTATGCGTAATTTTCGTGATTGAGCTTGTGATATTCATCGTTTCCCTGGCACTTAGATGAGTTTACCCCGTAGTCTTCATATATCCCTACAAAATTCATGGATTTTATGCAAGAAATTTGTGCTGTCCCCGGTGAATTCATGAGTCTGGCCGGAAAATTCGTACTTTGCTCGCTATATTCTTCCATTGCTCGGGGTATTCATGAAAATAAGTGTTCGTCGTTATAACCGCTGTGTGGTTTTATAAGACTGACATGATTTTCGTGCCCTGATCGAGGGCCGAGTATTACCCCTTCTGCACGAGGGACTGTCGACTTGGTTTGGGTGCCGCCTAACCTTTTTACTTGCGACGCAGAAGGATGGATTTGGATTTGCTGTCGAATTTACCAGTTTCCTCTGCTTTACAAGTAAAATGGCTGACACTCCTGAATCGTCCGAGCACGTGGACGTCGAAGAGACCAGTGTAGCCGAGGAGGCTGCCAACTTGGTTGACACGATTGACGATCCTGCCTTGGCTTGGGTCTGGGTGGAGCCTCAAGGGATAGCCTTGATATATAGTTATAGTAGGAGGCATGCTTATACTGTCGTCGAGCATGGCGGCAATTAGGAAGGCTTCCAAAGGAACTTCGCGATCTTGCGACCAACGCCCAATGCTCGGATATGCTCGGAGTTCGAGGAAGACTGCTTCCCTATGTACGAGGTTGTTTTCAGAAATTTGGGGCTTCGCCTCCCCTTCAATGATTTCCAAATGGGGGTGTTCAATCACTTGAACTTATCACCTTCCCAGCTTCACCCGAGCGCCGTTGCCTTCATTCGGGCATTCGAGATTACTTGTCGATTCCCGAGGATAGGGGCGACCATTCCCCTGTTCTTCAGGGTTTTTCATCTACAACGGCTGTCCCGGGGCAGGAAACCCAGCTAGGTCTCACTCAAACAGTCGAAGAGGCTGTTCAGGATGTACATGGACTCCGTCCGCGACTTTAAGGACATATGGTATGTCATGCGACCTACTTCTCAGATAGCCGTGGACGCCGTGTTTGACCCGGCTCCCGTTGTGGATCAAGATGGTGAGCTATACTATGATGCGAATGGCGAACAGGAGATGGGGCGAATCTCGAAGTTTTCCATCCATTGGTGTTCGAGCCATTACGATCATGGTCCCGGGCATTACCATACTCTCGTCGGCGGCATGAACGCTGAGGACGAAGAGGCATATGGTGTTCTTAATTGGTTCATCAATGGGTTTTTCCTGCTAGATGGGTCACGAGGGAAGGACATGACATCCTCGATGAAGATGGTGAGCCGAAGTTTGAAGCATGCCCGATCAACACCAAGGCGCTCGTCGAGTGTCGTTCTTATGGGGAAGCCGTGAATCTCTTAGGGTTATGATCACTTTATTTTGCTATATTTTTACTTCCTGACTTGACTTTTTTCTTTTGTTTTATTTTCTCGTCGAGGCTGACCCGAGGACACCGTTTTTGTTTTTGCAGATAACATGGCGGAACATTGCGAGAGGCTGTTGAAGCTGACCCAAGAGAAAAAGAGCCATAAGAGGTTGGTGAAGTCGCATCAGCCTACACGCATGGGTTCAGTTTACGAACCAGCCAAGGAAGGATCCAGTGGGTCGTTGGGACCTCGCGGTGCTGACCAACAAGCTGCTGTGTCGGGCAGGAAAAGGAGTCGCCCCGTAGATGGGGTTGCTGGTGTTACCGGGTGGCGACTGCCCGAGCTTTCAGCCTTCCGCCTTGTTTCGTGGAGAAGGATTTCTTTGAGGGCTTCCCCCTAACTGTGTCCGACAATGATTCTGACATCATCAGGCGACTTGACGATGAAGGTCAAAGGAAGCATCTGGCTTCCAGTATGGTCAGGGTGATGAAGATGGCGAAGATGGTCGTGGTCTTTACGGGTGAAGGGGCCAGCTCCTCTGATCGGTTCAAGGAACTGGAGTAAGAGAACGTGACTCTTCAAACGAAGACACATAAATTAAAGACCGCCCTTGAACGAAGCGAAGAGATGTTTCGGGACCAGTCTGATGCTCTGGCGGGGGAGAAAGAGAGAGCTGATAAAGCCCTCGAGGAAAAGGACTGCCTTCTGTTCGACAAAGAATTGTGGGAGAGAGAAAGGGAGCGGCTGGAGAGGGAATTCGATGATCTGAAGGATGTTATGGCACCCGCGGAGGATGAACCCGAGAGTTTAATTGATTTGTGCACTCCCGCCGATTTTGTCTCGTATTCAACTCCTCGAGTCAGACTGTGTCGATGCTTTGGCTGATGGTTTTGAGGCCTCTGTGAATCAGTTGTTCGTGTTAAATCCGAGGCTCAACACTGAAGGAACCAGGGTTCTGTCCCAAGTGATTGATGACCGAGTGGTTCCTCCTCCTAACTCTCCCGAGGTCAAAGTAGGCACTCCAAGGAGTGATTAGTATTTTTTATCTTAACTATTTGTATTTGGGCCTGTGTGCCCGTAATTTTGTAACATTCAAACATCGTCGGCTCTAACGGTCGATATTTATAAATGCTTTAATCTACTTCAATGTCTTTATGTTTATGCGGGTGCTTGCTTATTTTTTGATCGTCGTTGT